CACCGCCATTTCAAGGGATCTCTCGCTCCTTAAACATTTAGCACAGAACATTTCCAATTTTCAGACACACACACACACACACACACACACACACACACACACACACAGACGCACAGTAAATTATTTTATGTTGCTTAAAGGAATTTTAAGGATTTATTTTCCTTTTTTTTTTTTTCTTTTTTCTTTTTTGTGAGCAAGGCTTATAATAACCCCAAGCTTGGGCACTTGGCTGCTCAGTATAAACAAATATTTGTGGAGTAAATTAAATCCCACTCATCACAGGTCCTCCCTCGAGGCCCTGACGTGGTTTCTAGCGTTTCTGGTCAACAGGCTATAATGCTGTCTCTACAAACCCCCCTAGAACTTGACCACATCCAGTTCAGCACCTTGCTGGATTTTGGTCTCTTGTCATTTTACATGTTTATGTCCCTTATAATTCCTTACAGAATGCAGGCCTCCTTTTAAGGGCTCAGCAAGTGTAGTGACTTTGCCCAGAGCTCTGTCTATAGCCAGGATCCCATCATTGTCCTGGAGTCAGGGGAGACGAGTAGTTTAAACTGCTGTAACTCACCTGAGGAAATCTGAAGGAAACAGAATGGCTCGGAACAGGCTGGAAGCAGCAGCTAAGCAACAAGTTCCAAGGAAGGGTTTATTAAGAGGAATAATAAACAGCCTCCATGGGACACGAGTACTGCTTCACTGGGAGGTGCTGGGGTATAAACTTCTTACTTCTCCTGCAGCATCTCTCATATGAAAGTCCTTCTTGACTGGTCTCAGTAGAGCCCCATGTCGTGTGCTGTAGGGAAACGGGAAGGAGGCACCTGCCCTCTCCTCATCCTCAGGAGGACCCAATCTGATGGGGAGAGAACCTTGCGTGAGTTTCTTGGGGCTGCCATAACAAAATACCACAAATCGGGTGGTTTAAAACAGCAGAAATTTATTCTCTCTCTGGAGGCCAGACGTCCAAAATCAAGGTGTCCGCAGGGCCATGCTCCCTCTGAGGGCTCCAGGAAAGAATCCTTCTATGCCTCTTCTAGCTCCTGGTGGTTGCAGTCATCCTTGGTGTTCCTTGGCTTGTAAACACATCACTCTAATCTCTGCCTCCATCTTCACGTGGCCTTCTTCTCCCTGTGTTTCTCATGTGTCCCTGTGTCTTCACGTGTCCTTCTCATAAGAACACCCACCAGTCATATTGGATTAGGACACCACCCTACTGCAGCATGACCTCATCTTAACTAATTACATCTGCAAAGACCCTATTTCCAAATGGGGTCACATCCATAGGTACTGGGGGATTTGGACTTACTTGAACATGTGTTTTTTAGGGAGGACACAATTCAATCCACAACAGAGCTTATGCTGTTAAAGAGTTGAGTCTGGTAGGGAGAAAAAAAAATATGTGGAAAAGTAGACTTAACACATCCAAACATTACATAAACCAGACATAAAAGATCATGTCTCAGCAAAACCTAGAAATAGCCTGTTTTATACCGTATATACATACATATGTGTATATACACATATGTATATACACATATGTATGTATATATTTTTTTCCAGATAAAGACTCAAATGTAAAAAGCAAACAATAAAACTCTTAGAAGAAAATGTAAGGAGAAACCTTAAGTAAACAGAGCCTGTAAAAGATAAGATGGACATACTTAACTAGGTCAGGGGATCAACAATTGTAAGAACATATACAAAAATACTCAAAACTCACCAGCAGTCCAGGAAATACAAATTAAAGTAATGATGAAATGTCACTATACCCATGAGACCCAGCAAAATGACAAGAAGCAGTAACCCCTGTTGGTGAGAATGCACTTGTACATTGTCAGTGGAAAGGTGAATTGTTAAAGCCATTTTAGAAAGCAAGATGGCACCCTTATTTGGATCCTGATTATAACAACTGCAAAAAAGCTTTTTTGTTTTGATACAATAAGGAAATGTGAGCACTAGCTAACCATTTGATGATATGAAGGAATTGTCTTTATGTGTGATCATAGTATTATGGTTAATTTTTTTTTTAAAGATTTTATTGGGGAATCAGGGAAGGGGAACAGACAAGTTGCTGTCCTTTTGTTCTTCAGTCTTGTTGTGGAGGACATCACTTCACTGGCCCATGTTGGTATTATCATTGCACTGTTCCTGGGTGAGGCAGTTGCTCGCTGGCCATTGGACGGCCGCTCACAGCGGCTCATGGCAACTCACCAAAGCACACGTCCGCTGCCGGCTAGCCCCACTACAGCCTACGCCGTCGCTGGCAACTCACGGCAGCCCAGCTCCAGGTTGAGCTGTTGTTTAACATCTTAGCTGTAGAGGGTGCAGTGTCACTGGCCCATGTGGGATCCGAACCGGCGGCCCTGCTGCTCAGAGCTCGCACTCCCAAGCCAACTCTTAACTAACGAGCCACTTGGCTGGCCCTATGGTTCATTTTTAAAGAGTCCTTTGTGTTTTTTTCTTAGAGGTTCATACTGAATATTTACTGATAAAATGATGTAGCACCTGGGATTTACTTCAGATAATCCAGGAAGCAAGGGGGTCCATGGCTGATGGTATAAAGCAAGGGTCAACACACTACAGACGCAGCCAAATCCAGACCACCACCTGGCTTTGTAAATAAAGTTTTATTGGAATGCAGCCACGCTCATTAAGTTACACATTTGTTTAGTATCACTGAGGCTGCTTTTGCACTAAGCAGAATTGAATTGTCACAATGGAGATCATGTGCCCTGCATAGCTGGAGATATTTATATGTGAACTGGGTCTTTATAAAACATCTTAGCCCCTTCTCGCTCATAAAGAAATATGTTTGGCTACAGGTTTGTAATGGTTGATTCTGGGGACTGACAATGTGAGGGCCTATTAAACTAGTCTTCATACTTACCTGATCTGTTTGGGTTTTCCATAATGAAAAGCTAAAAACAAAAAAAATGTTAACCTAGTAATTTCACCCCTAGGAATCTATCCCTCAGAAATAAAAGCATCAATTAAAAAAAATATATGAAGGGCCGGCCAAGGGGCTCAGTTGGTTAAGAGCTCGCTCAAGAGTTTGAGCTCTGAGCAACAGCGGTTCGATGCCCAGCTCGAGCTGAGCTGCCACTGAGCTGCCAACAGGTAGCAGGATGGCTCAGCTAAACCCCCTCCCCCCAAAAAAAACAAAACAAAAAAGATATGATATTGAATGTCAGCTATAATTAAGTATACGTATATGTATTTAATCATATATGTGTATATATATATATATATATATATATATATATACAGAGGATGTAAAATACAACGTAGGGAATATAGTCAATGGTATTGTAACAGCTATATACGATGTCAGAGCGGAAAGTAGACTTCAGGGGATTATCACTCCGTGAGGGATGTAAATGTCTAATCGTTATGTTGTTTTGTACACCTGAAACTAATATAATAAAAAAAAAAGTTAAAATAAAAAGGATATATGTATAAGAATGTTTAAGTAAAATAGTTTACAGTGGTTAAAAAAAAACAACGAAATAAATTGCCTCCCATCGCGGGAATGCCTGTATAAATCATTTCCACCCACATCATGGAATATGATGCTGTCTTTTTTTTTCTTTTTTTTTTAAGATTTTTATTGGGGAATTGGAACAGCGCTGGGGAATTGGGGGAAGGGGAACAGACAAGTTGCTGTCGTTTTGTTCTTCAGTCTAGTTGTGGAGGACGTTGCTTCACTGGCCCAAGTTGGCACCATCATTGCGCTCTTCCCGGGCGAGGCAGATCAGTCGCCGGCTTCTGGACGGCCGCTCACGCTGGCTGCTGGCCACTCACGCTGGCTGCTGGCTACACACGGTAGCCCATGGCAACCCACTGCAGCAGGGGTTGCAGCCTACGCAGTCGCAGGTGACTCATGGCAGCCCAGCTCCAGGTTGAATTGTTGTTCAGCATCTTAGCTTGTAGAGGGCAGGGTCACTGGCCCTTATATGTGGGATCCGAACCGGGGCCCTCTGGCGTCCCAAGCCAGCTCTTAACCAATGCGCCACTTGGCCGGCCCTGATGTTGTCTTTTTAAAGAATGAACTAGTTTCACCATGCTACTTGGTAAATTTTTCATGAGATGTTTTCAAGTGAGAACAACAAAATATGGAAAAGTCTGTATGTGACAGTCCAGTTTTTATAGAACAGTGACAAAATTAACCCCTTCGGTAGGTAGGAGTGTGTGTGTATGTGTGTGTAGGATGCAGAACAGGGTGCTAACACAGCTTATAATAGAATGACATCTGTAGAAGGGAAGCAAAACAAAACAGAAAAAGGAAAAACCTGTACTTAAAACAGCCTACATGATATGATCCCGTGTATGTGTTTAAGTTATACTCACATGTATACGTGCTTTGCTAAATTAAAGAGTTACGATTTTTAAAATGACTTGAAAGGAGTGAATATTTTTAATGCCCTTTGATGTAAGTAAGGAAATAAAAGGGAATTTGATTAGGAGTTACAACGTGCCCAAGAGTAAGAAAACAAGATGAGGGTGACCTGGGCCAGTTAGGGAAGTCTCCGTGGAAGGTTCTAGTGGTGAGAAAGTGGATGGATGATCTTTGGGCTACAGTCACTCCCTGATCTCGGCGCCTCTTCCTCCTGCTCCCTGAGAAATAATGTTTCCCTGGGGGATGAAAAAGCATCCCTTTGTGCAGGCTTTAATTGCCATGTTGTTGTGCCAAGTGAATGAGTGGCAGGCGGGCACAGCAGCTGGGCACAGCCAATGCCAGGCAGCAAAGCCCGATGCCTTAGAACAGCCTGGGCCAGCTGGCCTGGGAGCGCTGCCCACCTCTGCCCCCCCACCCCCACCCCGCTGGGGACCCTGCACTGGGACAGTGGGGCTGAGGGGTCTGCAGAGAGAGAGAGAGAGAGAGAGAGAGAGGAGTCCTTAGAGGGAGAGAAAAGGGTGGGGCATCTGGGAGGGTCTCTGCCACTCTTAGAAGCTTATTCATCTCATCCTCCTTTCCCTTCCCCCTCCCTCTTGTTTTTCAGACTGTCAGCATCAATAAGGCCATTAATACGCAGGAAGTGGCTGTAAAGGAAAAACATGCCAGAAATATCCTTTTGGATGTTGCCTGGAAGACCGACCCTGAAGGGGGTCAAACCCTGGGGACTGAGGTCGGGGCGAGGCGTCAGGAAGGGGAACCCCCACACAGGCCAGTCTTCTGCAAGGTTTGAGCAGCATTGTTGGCAGCAGCTGGCTTCAGAGACCATGGCCTGTCAGGGTGGAAGGCACTGAAGTGGCCATCTAGCCCGGTCCTTCGCAGCTTACCAAAGACCCCGCTTGGCTTTCTAGAGCTGCCAAGTCCTTTGAAGTTACTTTCCTTTGAGGTACTTCCTTGGGGCAGGGTGCAGGAGGGATTTTCACCTATGCCATCAAAGCACCCCATAGGGCCATACTGACCAAACCCCCTTGGAGACACGATCATCCCCTCATCTCTGAGCATGGAAGCAAAACGAAGGTTTTGCTGCAGAAGTTGGTCTTAAGCCAATGCAGGGATTCATTCTAAGCCAGAGGGGAGAAGATAGGGACCTCAAATTGGTTTAGGGAACCAGTGACTTGAAAGTTTTCACCATGCCAAGTTGGCAGAAGCCCTGGGCCACCACCATCATGGGTCTGTGGCTTTGGGGAGAAGTACAGGCAGCACTCTGGCTGGTGGATCCCTGGGGATCTGCCCCTGAAGTATAGAGTCCAGGAGCTGGCGGCCCGAATCCCCAGACGTCGAAGGAGGGGCTGCCAGTGGGGCTGAGCCTTTACCTGTGTGTGTGTGCCAGAGGCGGAGTAGGTGGATGCTGGGCTTCTGTCTGGGATGCGCAGCTCCTTGTCTGGGCTCGTCATGGTGGCTGTACCACAGCCATTCAGGCCAGAACAGCTGGCCTTGAAGCCATCCCCGCTCAGCTCCTGGAGAGGATCCTCCAGGTTAGATGCCCCAAACAGGAAGGCCCTCAGGACACGTTGCTAACAGCCTGTACTGCTCTTCACTGGAGTGAAAGCAGCTTGTCTTTAGCGGAGAGATGCTCTGGCTGGAAATAGGGCTTTGCTGTGGGGTGGGGGTTATAAAAACTCTCCCAGGTACCCCAGAAGCCTGCCCGACAGTGAGCCTAGCTAGGTCTTGCCCTTTTATTTCCAGAAAGACACAGTCCCCTTGCTTTACTGAGTCAAGAGAAACAAACCAAGAAAAGCCTTCATTATGACTAGCCCAGCTGATTTTCTGAGCGGGAATTACCCAGGCCTGACCCCTACCTGCTAAGGATTGGTGATCCATCTGATTCGAGATAGGAAGTAAGAGAGAGACAGTTTGTCATAGGCCAGTGTGCTTCTCTGGATGGGGGCTTGGCACAGAGGACCAGGCCTATAGTGTCAGGGCCACATCACACCCATCCTGGGAGGCCACCTGGGGCGGAGCAGGGACGCTGGAAGGAAGGTCCAGAACCCCACCTCTGGAGCTCTCTGGCTCGCTCTGGACCTTGGGTACGAGTCGGCGCCATAGTGCCTCCGTGAGCCTGGGTTCCCTTGTCTGTCACATGAAAGAGTTGGCTGAAGATTTCAAAGTTCTCACGTTCTGACTCTAACATTCTGTGCATCTCTCTGATTAACAATTGCTAAGTGGTAGATAAATGTTGAAAAGACCAACTCTTTACAGTAGGGAAATCACAAAACATCATCAATTCATTTAAGAGCTTCAGGCACCCTGATGCTTCTGACTTCAGAAATGCCGCTCAGACAGTCGTTATCCCGGGTGCCTAACTAGGGAACAGGCACCCCTCATCCGCCCCACGGTATCCACTTCTGGAGTGCAGTGCCAGGAACTAGTCTTATTTTCCTTTATACCCCTGAATGCCTTTTACAGTACCTGACACATAAGGCATGCCTCAAAATGCTTATCAAATCAAAGAAGGACAGAAAGGTCTCCTTGCCTCTTTCAAAGTCAGAAAGCCTGGCTAGTTCCGCACCTGCTCTAGCTTCTGTTTTGGCAAACTGCACTCAGGTAAAGTAACCCAGTCAGCATGAAAAGTCAGCACGTGGGAGGGAAGGACACTGCCCATCTCTCTTCTTGGCTTCTGTCTAGTCTGAGAGGCTGTATTTTAGGTGAAAATGTAAATTATTTCAGAAATCACTCCAAGACCAAACGCTGATTTCAGCTTCCAGACCCAAAAATCGGTGTTCAAGCCTGTTCCTTTCAAGATACAAATTTCAGTTTAGGGAAGGAACTTTGTGATACCTTGCAGCTCAGAAGCAAAACAACACGTGTTTTGGGTGAGTCACATAGTTTGTGACCTGAGGCAAGTCTTTCTGTCCTAAATGGCACCTTGCTGCTTACCTGAGCCTTGATAAAGTACCTAAAGTTCCAAGGAAAGAGCTGAACTTCAGGTCCATGGTGCCCGGTTCCTGGGTATGTGAGGCCTGCTTAAGCAAACAATTACACAAGAAATGTGAGCATCCTCTACTCACCCCCAAAAGGCTCATAATTATAGCGGTCTGGAGTGCTAACTTAAAAGCCCATAAGGCCAGATGGACGTTTATTACATGGAAACCATGTCAGGTGGTCCCTGGGCAGTGGGGACTATTTGGAAGGCAGCTATGCTCACCACTATACCACCAACGCACACATTGGGGACTATTTGGAATTAGATCTCAGAATGAAGTGGCCCTAGGATTCCACATACAGGGAGTTCAAGGTGTTGGAAGATGAAGGGACCCCTGAACGAGTCCAAGAAGTTTTATAGAAGAGGTGGGGTGTAAGAATCATTTTAGATTTCGGGAAAAGACATTTAAAATAGGTTGCTGACTCCAAGGCAAGGTCAGAGTGCCTAACGGAGAGGAGTCAGGCTGCTGGGAGGGGAGCCGAGGGTGCCAGGCGGCCAGGGTGTGGGGTCCCCAGCAGGGGCCAGGGCGGCCCTCGATGAAGCGCTGAAGCACATCCTTGCTTTTAAATAACAGATGAGGGAGTAGTTGGAGAAACTGTAATGTGTTTTTAAAATGTTAGCTGTAATTACTCCCATGAAAGCCCCAACACAAGCTCAGCATACCCAGATGAAGGGCAGAGCCGGTCTTCCCGCTGCAAAGGCCCCAATTCGAACCAAATCATCTTTCCACTAAAGGCCAAGCAGAACCATTACTGGCCCAGAGCGCACTTGTGCAAATTAGAAAAAGACACCCCTCCCAAAAGACATTGCCATCTCCGTGGAAGTAGTCTAATAAAATGGATTTTATTAGAATGAGACACTGTTGCCATCTGCCAAAAAATTGCCCAGATACATGTATGGATCTGAGGTGTCTTAGTTGTGAACGGTGTCTCCTCAGTGGTAGCCTGTGCCCTGGGCAACTGCACAGCCCTCCACGGTGGCTGTTGCAGGCTCAGCTCCCACGGATCGGCTGCCTGAGGCCGGGCCTGTGCTGTTGTTTTCCATGACCCTCCTGCACCATGCATACTGGGCACCCACCATGAGAAAGGGGCGCAGACCTTTTGGTCTGTGGTCAACCGGCTGCCCCTCTCCAGCAATGCTGTGCTCTGCTGGAAGTTCTGCCACGTGTTCCACAAGCTCCTCCGAGATGGACACCCAAACGTGAGTTCCTGGGGCTGCGGGGGCGGGTGGGCGGGGCCAGGGACCCATGTGGGGATAATGGCTTCCTGGGCCACAAAGGCCACTGTCCACTCCTGCACGGAGGGTGGCAACTGCCCCTTTCTCCTGGCCTTTTGGTTGCTGATGAGAGGTAGGTTTGTCTCTCTCTGGTCAGCCTCTCCGTCCCACCCCAGACCCATCTTCTACCATCCTCTGTCTCCTCTCCTCTTCTCTCATAGGCTGTTTTCCCTCCCCAGGTCCTGAAGGACTCCCTGAGATACAAAAATGAATTAAGTGACATGAGCAGGATGTGGGTGAGTTTACACACTCAGCCAGGGGCTACTGGTGCCTCCTTATCCTTTCTAGAGGCCACTGACCAAGGTGTATGGAATGGAACAAATGCATCTCACATTTCAGCTGGTTTAGGATTGCTCTCATGAGCATCAGGGAGGGATCAAGGGTACCTCCTAATAATACCAGGATACTCACAGTCTTACCTAGGTCCCTGGAGGCTGTAGAGAAGCTCTAGGGCCTGGGAGCTTTCCTGCAGGTGGAACCTCATGTCACAACACTCTAGGCACTGAGACCCCTCAGCAGTGATATCGCCACAGTTCCCATTTTTCTCCTCCCACTAGTCCTAGTGGGGTCACAGTACATTGACAACTAGCATTACTGATTTGTAATGTCAGTGCCTTGCCTTTCCTGTGTCGGGATTCTCAGTGCCTTAGGAGGTAGGTGGCAATGTCAGAATCAATTTAAAAGATCCACACACCAGAATCCCTCTAGATTCTGATATCCAAGGGATATGTGTATGATGGTGGTGGTGGTTATTTGGGGTGGGGGTGATCCGCATTTTGAAGAATCTCCTCAGTTGAGTCTGATGTGTCCTTTTGTCCCCACTGGTTGAGAACTACTTTAGCCCTTTTCTTCAAATTCTTACCTATATCTATCTGTACTCCCAAAATGTTAGCAATTCCGTTGTCCTGCCTACCAATTACAGATGAGTAACTAAAGGCTCAGAGAGGGAAGTGGCTTTTCCTAAGTCACAGGGCTAGTGAACCTGAACAAAGCCACGAGTGGTCCCCAAACCTCCCAACTGGATGCTAGAGAGCTTTCTATTATAGCCCTAACCATGTACAGCTTAGGTCTTTTTCCTTCTTGTTAGAATTTGCCTGGAATACCTTTTTCTATCCGTTTACTTTTGACTTTCCTATATTCTTTTTTTTTTTTTTAAGATTTTTTTTTTTAATTGGGGGAATTGGGGGATGAGAACAGCGCTGGGGAATTGGGGAAGGGGAACAGACAAGTTGCTGTCCTTTTGTTCTTCAGTCTAGTTTTGGAGGACATTGCTTCACTGGCCCAAGTTGGCACCATCATTGTGCTCTTCCCAGGTGAGGCAGATCAGTCGCCAGCTTCTGGATGGACGCTCACTGTGGCTGCTGGCCGTTCATGCTGGCTGCTGGCTACACACGGTAGCTCATGGCAACCTACTGCAGCAGGGGCTGCAGCCTACGCCATCGTAGGCGACTCACGGCAGCCCAGCTCTAGGTTGAGCTGTTGTTCAGCATCTTAGCTGTAGAGGGCAGTGTCACTGGCCCTCATATGTGGGATCCGAACCGGGGCCCTCTGAAGTCCCAAGCCAGCTCTTAACCAATGTGCACTCGGCCGGCCCTTCCTATATTCTTAATATTTCAGAAATATCACTTGTGAATAGCAATTCGTTGGATTTTGTTGTTGGTATATTAAAGATGGAAGTCTTGATCTTTTAACTGTGCCTTTGTTTCATTTACATTTATCACAATGCATGATGTTTAGATTTATATCTCATGTCTTATTCTGTGCTATTTATCTGTCCTGTTTCTATTTTTCTCATTCCTTGCCTTCTTTTGGATTGATTATGTTTTTCTCATTCCATTTGTCCCTCATTGCTAGTTGGGAGATTAAAAAATCCTCTACTTTTATGTTTTATTTTTTAGTATGCTACCTAATAATTACAAAATATATGTTTAGTTTTTCAAAGTCTAAAATTCATATTTTTATCTGTTCCCTGTATAACACGAAGACCTTAGAATATTTTAACTCCACTCTCTCTCAACTTGTATGTTATTGTTGTCATATATTTTCATTTTGGTTATGTGTTTCTTTTTAAACCCTATATTTTATTTTAATTGTTTTATTCTGTGCTCTTTATTTCTTTCTACATCTCAGACCTTCCGTCTGGGATCACTTTCTTTCTCTCTGAATTATTTCCTTTAGAACTTCCTTTAGTGAGAGTCTGCTGGTGCCCAACAGTCATTTTTACTGGTTTGAGAATGTCTTTATTTCAGCCTCATTCATGGAAGATATTTTCTCTAGATTTAGAAATCTGCTATAACAGTTATTTTCTCTTATCTCATAAAAGATATTGCTCAGCTGACTTCCAGCTTCCGCCTTTCCATGAAGTCTGCTGTCAGACTTACTGTTGCCCCTTTAAAGCTAATCTATATTTTGTTTGTTTGTTTGTTTGTTTTCCTGGCTGTTTTTAAGATCTTAGCATGTGTTTAGGTGTGAATTTATTTTGAATTCTTTGGATTTCTTAAATCTGTGGGTTAGTATCTTTCATCAGTTATGAAAAATTCTTATTGTCTTTGCTCCTCCATTCTGTCTTTTCCTTTGTGTCTTTGGTGAGAAGTATGTTAGACTTTCTCACACACTAACTTCCATTCTTTATACCCATATTTCATTTTTTTCTGCCTGTTTGTCTCTGTACTTCATTTTGGATAATTTCATTAGATCTGGCTTTCAGTTCACTCGTTCTCTCTTTGGCTGTGTCTAATCTGTTATTAAACCTCTCCTTGATGTTTTCAACTTTAGTACAGTTTTCATTTCTTGGAGTTTTTTGTTTTTTGTTTTTTTCAAATCTTATTGGCATTTTTTTTTTTTAAGATTTTATTGAGGAATTAGGGGAGGGAACAGCGCTGGGGAATCGGGGAAGGGGAACAGACAAGTTGCTGTCTTTTGTTGTTCACTCTTGTTGTGGAGGATGTCGCTTCACTGGCCCCTGTTGGTATTATCATTGTGCTTTTCCCAGGTGAGGCAGTCACTCGCGGCCATTGGACGGCCGTTCACGGCAGCTCATGGCAGCTCACGAAAGCACACGCCAGCTGCCGGCCAGCCCTACTGCAGCCTAGGCTATGGCCAGTGACTCACCACAGCCCAGCTCCAGGTTGAGCCCAGCTCCAGGTTGAGCTGTTGTTCACCATCTTAGCTGTAGAGGGAGCAGTGTCTCTGGCTCTCATGTGGGATCTGAACCGGCAGCCCTGCTGCTCAGAACTGGCATCCCAAGCCAATTCCTAACCAATGTGCCACTCCGGCCCTTAAAGGCATTTTTTATAGTTTCTTATGCCCTGCATATATTTTGAAACAGTCTATTATTTATTTAGTCATATTAAACATGGCAATTTCGTATATCATTTTTTTATACTTACATTATCTAAAGCCCTTAGAGATCTGTTTCTGCCATCTGTTTTGGTGAATTTTGCTCATGCTATGTAGTTTTTGTTTGTTTGTTTCTGTGCTTAGTTATTTCTTACTGTGAGCTGCACATTTTCATAGAAATTTTATTTGTGGGAATTCTTTGGAGTCTGTAATAAAGGCAGGTTTCTCTAGAGAGAATTGGCTTCCCTTGGGATCATTCTAAATTCTCAGCATAAGGTTTTGTGAGCTCCAGGCAGAATCTCTTGAGGACTGGCTCATTGGTCCAATTCTCAGCAGCAATTTTTTCCTCTCTCTGATCCTATTAGTGGTTTGAGGCGGTAGATTTTCTTTGCAGTCCTCAGGGAGGACTTCTTCAGTGCAGGAGTGAAGGTGTATTTATTTTCAATTTACCTTTAGTCCCCCTGAACCCAGGAGGCAGCCTTTGGCTCTTCTGCTAGACTCTCAACTTGGGTAGGCCAGAGCCCTGCCTTCTGGTCAGTACCTGGCCCTTGAGGCCCAGAGAAATCACAGCTCAGATTCACCTGGTGTGGCAAAGTCTCCCCCTGCCCCCAACTTCATCATCCCAGCATTCCATTTACTCTCCCAGTATCTGTGTTTACTCAGCCCTGGTCTGAGTATTCCTTACTCTCTTGTTAGTTCATTAATGCCTTCAAAAACTTTAAATAGGGCTGGCCGAGTGGCACATTGGTTAAGAACTGGCTTGGGATGCCAGAGGGCCCTGGTTCGGATCCCACATATGAGGGCCAATGACACTGCCCTCTACAGCTAAGATGCTGAACAACAGCTCAACCTGGAGCTGGGCTGCTGTGACCCGTGATGGTGTAGGCTGCAGTCCCTGCTGCAGTGGGTTGCCATGGGCTACCGTGTGTGGCCAGCAGCCAGCATGAGCGGCCGTCCAGAAGCCGGCAACTGATCTGCCTTGCCCGGGAAGAGCGCAGTGATGGTGCCAACTTGGGCCAGTGAAACAACGTCCTCCACAACTAGACTGAAGAACAAAAGAACAGCAACTTTTCTGTTTCCCTTCCCCAATTCCCCAGCGCTGTTTCCATCCCTCATTCCCCAATAAAAATCTTTTTAAAAAAACCAAAAACAAAAACTTTAAATACTTTGCCCAATATTATTCGTAGTTTTTAGTGAGAAGGTCAACCCAGGTAACTAACCTACCTTGTTATCCAAAATAGAATTCCTTTAGGTCTTTTTACCTATGTAGTCTGTCTCTTCCATTTGCCTAAGAGTTTCTGAAGTTAGAAACTCCTTTTACTTTTATTATATTTTTAAATTAAGACCTTTTTTTTTTTTTTACAGTAGTTTTAGGTTCATACCAAAATTGAGTAGAAAATACAAAGATTCCCCACCACCACCTACAATGCCTGGCAACCAGTTATCTTTTTACTTTCTCATAGTTTTGTATTTTCCAGAATGTCATGTAGTTGGAATCATACAGTATGTATGGTCGTACAGCCTTTTAAGATTGGCTTCTTTAATTTATTGATATGCATTTAAGGTTCCTCCATGGACTGATATCTTTTCATGGTCCGATGGCTCATTCTTTTTAGCATTCAATAATATTCCATTGTCTGGATGTACCACAGTTGATTTATCCATTCACCTACTGAAGGACATCTTGGTTGCTTCCAACTTTGGGCAATTATAAATAAAGCTGCTGTAATACCCCTGTGTAGGTTTTTGTTTGGACATAAGTTTTCAACTCCTTTGGGTAAAAACCAAGGAGCACCGCTGCTGAATCATATGGTCAGAATATGTTTAGTTTTGTAAGAAACTGCCAAACTACCTTCCAAAGTGGCTGTACCATTTTGCATGTCCACCAGCATGAATGAGAGTTCCTTTTGCTCCATATCCTCACTAGCATTTGGTGTTGCCAATGTTTTGGGTTTTGGACATTCTAATAGATGTGTAAGCACTACCTTATTATTTTAATTTGCATTTCCCGGTGATGTATGATGTTTTTTCATATGCTTATTTGCCATCTGTATATCTTCTTTGGTGAGGTGTCTGTTAAGGTCTTTTGGCCCATTTTTTAATTAGATTGTTTTCTTATTGTTGAGTTCTAAGAGTTCTCTATATATTTTGGACAAAGTCTTTTATCAAACATGTCTTTTACAAATATTTCCTCCCCACAGTCTGTGGCTTATCATCTCATTCTCTTGACATTGTCTTTTGCAGAGCAAAAGTTTTGAATTTTAATGAAGTCCAGCTGATCAAGTATTTCTTTCATAGATCATGTCTTTGGTGTTGTGTGTAAGAAGTCATCACTATACTCAAGGTCACCTAGGTTTTCTCCTGTGTTATCTTCGAGGAGTTTTATTGTCTTGCCTTTTACATTTAATTCTATGGTCCATTCATCTTTTACTTTTTGACCCTCATGCATTTTCATGTGAAGGGTAGTTGTCTTTGATGGTGAGAATATTTTTGGCTCCTTTTTCTGCTTTTCAGTACTTTCTAACTTTTCTATAATAAAAAATATAATGTAAAGGTTAATAAAATATGAATCTTCATAGAAAATTAATACATTATGAAATACTGTCATCTCTGACATTGGTGTGTTTAACCTCTGATTACTCAGCTCCCTTTGGTGCCATTTGAGGCATGTTTCAATGGGGTTTCTCTACTCTAGAGGATATAGATGCACTTAAGAGAAAACAGGGAAGTACAATTCATGGGGGAGCCACAGCTATTCAGCTTAAGCATTCGTTGTGCCCTTGTATCCCTCCTCTTTTGTATGTAACTGGGAGTTGCCAGCATGGCTCTGCTATTCGATCCTAGCTTCCTCCCCAAGCACGCCGAACATGCCTGCAGGGGCAGACTCCATGGGGAGGCTCATTCTTCACCTGCTAGGATTAGTCCCATCTCAAATCTCCACCTATGTGTATTACTGCAGATGCTCATAGTCCTTTGGAGAGCTGGAGGAGGTGTTTCCTCTCCTGTGCTCAGAGAGACAGAAGGAAGGAAATAGCCCATAGCCAGACTGTGCTTACTAAGAGTAGGCGACTCAAAATTCTTAGATAAGAAGCTTTGTCCAGAATTTATCCAAAGGAAGTCCTCGTGTTTGTACACAAGATTCTGCTGTTAGAATGTTCGACACATCGTTTATAATAAGAAAACTCACCTACAACTAAAATGTACAAGAGTGGGGAGTCGCTTTGATAAATTACGATACACCGTTATAATGTACTGGGAAGTCACTAAAAATAATGTTACAGAAGAAAATTTAAGAAGATAGAAAAAATTGCAGTATATTAAGTAAAAAGAGACAAGTTGATTCCATTTTATATTTTAAAATACAGGTGGAGCACAGAGGATTTTTAGGGCAGTAAAACTACTCTGTATGATGTTATAATGGTAATGCATATCATTATACATTTATAAATACCCATAGGATATACAATACTAAGAGTGAACCCTAATGTAAGATTTACTTTGGATGATAATGTATCAATGTAAGTTCAACAGTTATAACAAATGTCCCACTCTGGTACAGGGTGTTAACAGTGGGGGAGGTTATGTATGTGCAAGGGATATAAATCTCTATACTTTCTGTTTAATTTTGCTAAAACCACTCTAAAAATATTCTATTCAAATTGAAAAAAGAAATAACATTTTGTACCCCCAAATGTTAGCCATAATTCTATCTGATGTTTAGATTAAGGATGATTTGCTCATGTGTTTTTCTATACTTTCAAAATTTTTACTGGGCAGCTGGGTGGCTCAGTTGGTTAGAACGTGAGCTCTGAACACCAAGGTTGCCTATTCGATTCCCGCATAGGATGGTGGGCTGCGCCCCCTGCAATTAGATTGAAGGACAACGACTTGACTTGGAGCTGAAGGGTCCTGAAAAAAACACACTATTACCCAATTAAAAAAAAATTTAACAATGGACATTTGTTAATTTCATAGTCAGAACGAGATTTTTTTATAGTGAAGCCCTGGCTCTGGGTCTCTCAACTCACATGTCCTTAGTGCTGACGCGCTCCTTTCTTTCCTCCTCCTGGAAGGGCCACCTGAGTGAGGGGTATGGACAGCTTTGCAGCATCTACCTCAAACTGCTGAGAACGAAGATGGAATACCACACCAAAGTGAGTTTTGCTGACAGCCTGCGCCCCCCGCAGTCTCCTCAGCACTTCTGTGGCCGTGTGTCGGGTCTTTCAGGAAATAAGACAGCCTGGCTTCTTAGGGAGTATTTATACCAAATCCCGGCTGTGTGAGACGAAACAGGGCAACCACAGTCGGGCCCCGGGATGTGGCCTATGGCTTCTGTGTTTTTTTGTTCCCCATTTCGCAAATAGAAAGGGGAACCCTATCCAGTAAGTTGCCCTATGAAAATGTTTTAAAAGCACCGTTAATAAAAAACAATTTCTTCCACACAGAACCTTCTTTTCATTAATGTATGACTTTCGTCAGTGCTTCTTATGCACATAATACATGTAAAACTGTGTGCTCAGTACCAGGTGGCATCTAAGAATAAGTAAGAAGGTCTGCATTTTAGGAATTTACAGATTCAGTGGGACGAGAAGGCTTACATATTTGCAATAGCCGTGTATAGTGCAAAGCAGTTATGTGTGCCTGTGGAGACGTGCCAGTTTGGAAATGACAGAGGGTTGTGGTGCCTGAAAGGGCAAGATGAAGGAAGTGGGGCTTGAAGTGGACTTGGAAGGATGGGTGTGGTGTGAATAGGTGGTGGGGAAGAATGGTGTCAGGTGAAAGAGAAAATGGCCTGAATTAGGAAGCTGGCAGCGGAAAGGGAGAAGGAGAAAATTTAAGAGGAAGTAACATAATTGAGTGTCTTTTGTCTCCATTACCTTTTATGAACTTGAGGGGTAGCTTTGGTTCATTGAAACCATCCTACTCTATTAAACCTTTTCTGTACATCTCTTAATCCTCTCAACAACCCCATTAGGTAGGTATTATTATATCCTAGGAGTTTGAAATTCAGAGAGTGGTTGAGTCCCATTGCCTGAGTCACACAGCTCCTCAGTGGGGAGGTGGAGATTTGAACCCAGGCCTGTATGACACTACAGCCCATGCTGCCCAGTGGCCTCCTTTACCTCCCCTCATGTCGCATGGAGTGCCTGCCAGTGGCCAGAACTAGGTAGGCTCTGGAGAGAGAAAGGTGAGTCGACTTTGCCCCTGCCTTCAGGAGCCGTAGTTTGGTTGGAAGAGAAGTAGTATAGGGAGAGAAGATAGTGTAGTAAGGAGGAGAACTGAATCCGATGGGGATACGAAAGCATGTAAGCAGGAGTCTAGCCCAGACCCAGACAACCAGGTAGGCTGCTTCTCAGAGGCAGCGACACCTGAGTTCAGTCATAGGATGTGACAGTTACCTGTGCTGCCTAACATATCACCCCAAAACTTAGTGGCTTGCAACAGCAATAATCCTTTATTATCTCTCACACTTTCTGTTGGTCAGGAGTTCTGGAAGGGCTTGACCTGGCAGTGCTGGGTGGGGGTCTCACACAGTTGCAGTCAGATGCTGGCTGAAACTACAATCGTGCAGGGCTAGCCCAGCATTGCTCTCTTCATGAAACTTCAGGGCTGGTCAGAGTTTCCTCGCAGCCTGGTGAAGTTTCCCAAGGACACAAGGTGAAGGGCATGGCATTTTTTAAGGCCTAGCCTCAGAAGCCACAAAGCATCCCTCCCACTGTGCTGTATAGGCTGAGGCCATCACAGAGGTCTCTAGATTCAAACAGAGGGGACAGAGACCATACCATTCAAGGGGGGGAATGTCAAAGTTTCTTTGTAAATAGAACATTTCAAATGGCATATGTTGTGGCAGCAATCTTTGGGAAATACAGTCTGCCACAGTCTGCCCTCTGGGCCCACAGTTCACAGCTCTCCCCACCTTCAGAATACACTCACCCTTCCCCCAGGCCTGTTTGCCACAGAGCCGGTAGAGGGGAGAGAGCCAATGAGGAAGGGCGGGGTGGGCAAGCAGAGGAATCGGCTGGAAACATAGAGCATGAGGCCCAGGGCACTTTGGTGTTTGTGCGGAACTAGCAGTAGATCCACATTGAAACGGGCAGGGTGGAGAGCAGGGGGCAACTGGGCGGGTGCTCGAGACCATCCCTGTCGCAGTGTGGAGGGTGCACATGGGGAGCCAGGCTGTCAGCGTGCTTGATGGTGAGAGCCAATTAGGACACTTATCTGTTGGACAGACAAGGGGTGGAGCTTCCTGAAGATTAGCAGGAAAGGGAGGAGAGAGGGGGCAACAGCTAGAAGGGGATATGGGACCACAGGAAAGACTTGGGAGTCTTGAAAGTGTCGGGAGGTGCAGTGGGGCTCTGTGGGCTCCGAGAGGACAGAGGACAGGCATGCGTGTCTCCTTGTGTCCTATGAGCGGCCCAGCTTAGAACAGGTGCTCAATCAGCATTTGTTGGATGAGTGAGAAAATACACAGAACCTGGGTCAGATCCAGTAGACACAGGAGGGACTGATCCTGAGTCAAGGAAGAGGCAGCCCTCCTCTGTTGAAGCTGGAGGAACGGAAGGACAGCTGGGCACGTGTGGAGCAGGGTTGCTGAGGGAGTCACCAACGTAAGAAGAGGGACGTGTGCTGGGGGGATGGCTCCTGCCGGGTACCCGGTTTGAGAGCGGGACAGCTGTTGATGGGAAGGCGACCCATCTAGGGAGTAGCAAGGATTGTGATGAGGCACTAAGAGCAGGATTTAATAGTGACTCCAGCTCTCAGTCCTTCTCCAGGGACTTTTGGCAGCTGGTACGAGGCACAGGGAATGTGACAAAGAGCCAGGCTCACCCGGTTGAACAGGTGGAAGGACAGGCAGCAAGAAAGGTGAGGGCCTGGGAGCAGGGGCTCAGGTCACCATAATTTCCAAACTGAGAGAATGTAAGTCCAGCTAGAAGGGGGCGATAAGGAACCGGCCATCTCTGAGACAGAGGAGCCTGCGGTGAGCCTGAGGGCAGGAGGTGGGCAAGGGCAGAGGGCAGCGTGTTGCACCAGAGAGAGAGGGGCCAGAGTGGAAGGTTTCTGTCTTCAGAGCCTAAAATGTTCACAGTGGCGTTCAGCACCCCCTCTTGCTGCACTGACCATCCGTCTCCCTGTGCTCACCTCCACTTTTGCCTTGGCCTTGTGTTCCGTCTGCCGCAGACGGGCCACACTGAGGAGGATAAAGTGGTGCAGCTACTTCTCAGTGATGGATGATACCAAATAATTTCTCCTGACTTTGGGGGTGCATGATGTAATATTTTCCTACCTTCAAGTTTATTTTATGAATTATGTTTTGTGGAATCTCACATGAGAATGGGTTTCCTTCCCTGAACCCACAACAGCAGCTTTGGGAAATGGCCAAAGGACAGTGGGAAGCTGAATAGGATTCAGAACATACTGGGGATAACAAATGCTGCACTTACGGCCGGTTGAAGGCCCACCACTCTCAGAGCATGGGTATCATTGCAACATGGAAGAGCATCTTTAGAAGAATGTCCTGGGGCCCAAATTGGTAGGGGGGACCCTCTTCTGGCTCCCAGGCATGGAATGGGGGCTTCACCTCCAACGATGGGTAGTGGATGCTCTTTGCTGTGAGCCAGTCAAAGGGTGTGTGTGTGAGGTTGTACCCTGACACCATTACCAGGAAGAGTGTAGGTACAAACTGTACATGCCACACAAGCAGAATCAGGCCTGCTGCTGCCCGTGCTCAGTGTACACTTCTTTGATGTTGACTTAGCTCGGCTGTATGGAGAGCTCGAGGTGCTCTGTTCTGACCTCCTTTCCTCTTCTTCCTTTCCAGAATCCCAGGTTCCCAGGCAACCTTCAGATGAGTGATCGGCAGCTGGATGAGGCTGGAGAGAGTGACGTTAACAACTTGTAAGTGGATGTCCTCTGGAAGAAAGCTTTTGTAGAATCTTATCACTTTCCATTAGGGTCACAGAGGGTCAGATGGTGGGGCAGGGACTGGGGTGGGTGACTTCACCTCAGGGCCACTTACTGCTGGTGCCTCATCCAGAACCCTTCCAGGCCATCTCACACTCTCTGTTCCTTGTTCCCTTCCATTCTCCCAACCCAGTGTGGTACCTGCCCTTTGGTGAATTCGCCCTGCTTGATCTTCAAATGGCCTTATTACGGACTTAGATGGGTGCTGAGAATTGGAGCTGGTGTGTGAGTGTGTGTGTGTGTGTGTGTGTGTGTGTGTGTGTGTGTGTGTGTGTATGCGCGCGCACGCATACACATGTGCTCATGTGTTTGCGTACATGCATGTGTGCATTGGGGGTTGAAGCAATAACAGAGCTTGGGGGAAGGAACAGGTACTGGCCTCAAGCTGTGGAGTATAAGCTCTCTTTCCTCTTCGGTCCAGTTTCCAGCTAACAGTGGAGATGTTCGACTATCTGGAGTGTGAACTTAACCTCTTCCAAACTGGTGAGTCTCTCCCTCTCATCTGGCCCGGGCTCTTATGGGAACTGCCTAATTCCCAGCCTTGTTCCCTGCTGGGACCGGCCAGCCTAACCCCCCTCTCCCTACAAGCTGTGCAGCACAGGCCCAGGAAAATGGAGACTGCAGGCCACACCCTGTCTCTGCTCCCTCCATCTCTTGTGCAGGGAGGGGCTGAAGCTTTTGGGCATTTTCAGAGGTAGGGCTGTCATATCTGAGCAGAAAGACCACGCTCTCCACCCTGCTGGCTTCCCCGCTAAAGGCCAGGCCTCCAACAGCCCAAAGACAGGTCCACCCTCTTTGACAGCCCTCGGACTGTAGCCCCAACACTGGCTGGTCCTTTGGCCCAGCCCTATCTGCTCCTCAGGTGGTCTGGTACTCGGGCTGAATTTCTGCTCAGGAAGAAGGCCTGCTGTATGCTATTTGGTCGGTAGCCGGGGAGAAGGCTGGTTGAGTGGCTACCCGAGTCCACATGAGAAGCCCACAAAGTCCTATTTCCCCAGCCACGGAGCACTTCTGGGCTCCCTCCTGCTGAGAGCTCTGGCGCCTCCAGACCCTCAGTCCTTAACACTTTCATGAAAAGACTGAAAGAAAGGAGCCAGTTCTCTTCTCTTCTGTGTCCTCTCTTCCCCACATCTCCCAGCATGGCTCCCCCTTCTTTCTTGGGGGAACAGAAGAGCCCGCTTTCTAAGAGTCCACGATGTTCCACAAGTGTCCAACTCTGTGAAAGTGTGTTCCAAACCGCCAATATTTGTACACACGCTTGGCAATCTTCTCAGCATTTGGACGTGCAGGGCCTGCTCTTGGGGCTTTGACTCTCATGAAAGACAGAAACTCTCTCACCCTAAATTGCACTTTTTCCAGCATGTTTATCTGTGTAGCAAATACTTAAAACTGGCCTGTTAATGTTCCAGCGCTATACCAGGCCTGTGATGGGGGCGGCAAATTTCTTACTACTTTGACCAATCAGCTCAGTGCAGGATGTGGTAAGAGGAATACCAGAAATAGTTGGAAACTGTGGTTGATAGGAGAAATAAGTCATTCGTCCTAAGCGACCTATCTGAACAGGACCTTATACAAAAGTCAGTAGAGAAGTAAACATGAAATAAAACATAGTCCCTGCTTGCTCTAAGGCATTCCCAGTAAGGTCAGAGAAATGGTGTAGAGGCATTATTATTATTATTATTATTATTATTATTATTATTATTATTAAGGAGGGTGCAGCTCACAGTGGCCCATACGAGGATCAAACTGGAAACCTTGGTTAGCTCTAACCAACTGAGCTAACTGGCCACCCCTATTTTGTTTTGTTTTTAATGTACTGGAAATGTTTGCATAAAAGTAGACAACAACTACACATTGTTGTGCTTAGCTCTCAGTTATTTGGCTTTAGGTGGGAAGGACCTGTGTGGATAAGTCAGAATTCATTGACATTCAGCTTTAGATGTGCTAAATCTGAATGCAGGTATGAGAAATATTCTAGGAATTGTCATTCTTGGGAGAGTCCAATCTTGAAGTTGCCACTCAGCTGACCCAAGCTCTCCCCAACAGCTCTGGCCTTTCTTGGGAGTCTGCCCCTGTGGCAGTGGTTGGGGAAAACACGGCAAATGTTTCAGCCTTTCGGCTATCCCTTCCAGCCCCTGATGGGCTGTTGGAGTCAGCTGAGGTTTGGAGTCAAACTGATGACACCCAGCAAGACATGAGGTGGCTGGGAGAATGGTACGTGTATATGAAAAAGCCCCACCCCAGGTGGCCAGCTTGTTCCCAGCTCCCATGATTCCTGGCTCTGTTTTGTTTTTTTTATTGGGGAATTGGGGGGATGGGAACAGCGCTGGGGAATTGGGGAAGGGGAACAGACAAGTTGCTGTCGTTTTGTTCTTCAGTTTAGTTGTGGAGGGCGTTGCTTCACTGGTCCAAGTTGGCACCATCATTGCACTCTTCCCGGGCGAGGCACATCAGTCGCCGGCTTCTGGATGGCCGCTCACAGCGGCTGCTGGCCGCTCACGCTGGCTGCTGGCTACACACGATAGCCCATGGCAACCCACTGCCAAAGGGGCTGCAGCCTACGCTGTCGCCAGTGACTCACAGCAGCCCAGCTCCAGGTTGAGCTGTTGTTCAGCATCTTAGCTGTAGAGGGCAGCATCACTGGCCTTCATATGTGGGATCCAAACCGGGGTCCCCTGGCGTCCCAAGCCCGTTCTTAACCATCGCGCCACTCGGCCGGCCCCTGGCTCTGTTTTTACCTGCGTTGTTCACTTGTATTATTACCACTAGATGCTGAGCTTCTCCTCAGAATCAGGAGCCAGGCCCTGCTCATCTCCGTTCTAGCCTAGTCCCTGGTCTATAGAAAGCGCTCAACCACAAAGTTCAGGGATGCTTGCCTTAGATGAGCAGCAGTGAAGCAACAGCAGGTGAACAGATAAAATGGTGTCAATATCCAGCTGAATGCTCTGGGGTCATCTGGGTAAATTAGCTACTTAGAGTTTTCTAGAGGAGAGTTACCTGAGTCTGGGCACAAACCCCTTCATGGTACATGGCAGAGGCTTTCTCATCCCTGAAAGAGCCCTGATTTAGAATCAAGAGCCCTCTTTTACATGTCTCCCCCACAACTTTCCCTCCCCCAGTCACCTATGGTGTGACCCAAAAATCACGAGGGCTGCTGTTGGAAGAAGTCTTTCCAGCTTCTGAGTCCTAGTCTGTGACCCTCCAAGGTTCCAACCCGTACCCTTGCAAGGGTGCCACTGGCTTTCAGCTGTGGGAAACATGGGCCAATTCCAGTTAACATCTGAGCACTGGCAGTGGTTCTCAAAGTGTGGTCCCTGGATCAGCAGATCAGCATCACCTGAGAACTTGTTCGAAAAGCAAATGCTTGGGTCCCACCCCAGACACTGAGTCAGAATCTCTGGGGGTGTGGCCTAGCAATCAGTGTTTTAACAAGGCCCCCAGGTTTGCACTGTCTAATATGGCAGCCACTAGCCATGTGTGACTATTGAAATTAATTAAATTAAATAACATTAAAAAGTCAGGTCCTCAGCTCACTTGCCATATTTCAGGCACTCCCTAGCCATATGTGGCTAGCATATCGAACACTCCATCGTCACTGGACAGTGCTCCCCAGCGATTTTGACACGTGCTAAGGTTTGAGAACCACTGAGCTAGGAAATACAGCTTTCAACCCTGGCTGCATAGTAGAATCACCTGGGGGGCTTTTGAAACCTACTGATGCCCCATCCTACCCCAGACCAATTAAAGCAGAGTAGGGAGTATGCGGGAGTTAAAGGCAGACATTAGCTTTTAAATTTCCCCAGGTGATTCTAATCAGTCTCAAAGCCAAAGTTGAGAACCACTGCACAATGCCACACACTTTATACAACATTTTCATTTAATTCTTACAAGGCCCTTATGAGGTATGTGCTATTAGAACCATCTGCATTTTACAGAAAAGCATATGGAGACAGAGAGGTTGAGTCACTTGTCCATGGTCACACTGCTCTGCATGTTACTGGATGCCAAGGGGCATTCCTGGAAAGCAGCAGGCCAGGCGATGGAGCAATTTGATTTTTTGCCAGAGTGGAGCCTAAGGAAGCCAGTAGACTTGGGGATGGCCGCCTTGCAGTGACAGCTGCTTTTAATTTGTGTCAAGAAGAAAGCCTGCTGCCTTTTAATTAGAACCATTTGGGATTTTTTTTTTTTTTTCCCAGCTGCCAGACTGAGTCAGTGAGCAGGGACTAGTGCAGTCAGGGAATGCCGGGCACAGCAGCTCCGGGCTTTCCTCTGGGGCAGTCCCACTCGCTGAAGGACTGCAGAAGTCTTTCGTTGCCAGCTAGCCACATGTGGCATTTCTGGAGGTGGTGGACAGCCGCTGCAGGCAGGAAACCGGACCTGGCCAGTGGTGTTCGCTAAGGGTCTACAGCCAAGCATCGAATTGCGTGGTTTAGGATTAAGAGGCAGGGGGTTAAGGTGGAGGGGCTCTCTGGAACAAGACACTGAGGGAGCAACTGGTCCCTGGAGCTTGGGAGAGTGGAGGGCAGTACTTCTGTTGACCTGCTCCCCCAACGACCTCCGTCAGCTTTTGGTCCTGATGGTCATCCCCCCCCCAGCCCCTGGCCTTGGTCCTTGCAGGCTCTCCAGTCATCCACCCAGGGCCCCTACACATTTCCTCCATTTGCTGTCCCAGCAACCCTGTGGCAAGCCACCAAGAAGCCAAGGCTGACTTAGTCCCTTCCTTGTGTTCTCATTAATATTTGGTATTTTCCCCACATGTTAACTATTGCTACCACCAGAGTGGGTGCTTCTCAAGGTCAGGGTTACCATCCGATGAGAGGAAGGGCTGGACTGGCTATCTCAGCAGCCCCTTTCAATCCTGAAATTCTAATTACCCATAAAACTGAGGGCTTCCCTTTGAAAAAGTGCTCATCTCCCCATTAAATCAGAAACTCTAAAAAATGATGTGTTCAGTCTTTCTGATCAGCCCGGGGCAGAGGCCACGAAGCTTCCTCAAAGACAAGAAGGAAGGGATTCCCCTCATCTGGGTGTTCCCCAGGCTATGGGTAGGTCTCCACCTGGACTTCTGCAGGCCTGTGCGTGTACAAGAGCAGAGTTCACCTGTTCATGTCACCTGTCGCACCTTGGCTGACAGGAACACAGGCTCCTGGTCCAGCCACTGCTGGCCACGCGGGCACTGTCTTTTAACTCACCCCCTCTCATCAAAACCACGTCTTGACTTTGTGACCCCTTTCAAGTCACTTAACCTTCAGTTTACTCACCTGTGTAGCGGAGTACCTGTAGGAGCCGTTCTGGGTTCATTAAATGAGACAGTGTCTGCATGGACTAGGTCCTTGGTGTGTGTGAGAGCCCTGCCTTCTGCCCCTCGGAGAAGGTCATCTATAGTGTCCAGCTCCATGGCCTCTCTGCCCCTTTTATTCCCTAGTGTTCAACTCCCTGGACATGTCCCGCTCCGTGTCAGTGACGACAGCGGGGCAGTGCCGCCTCGCCCCGCTGATCCAGGTCATATTGGACTGCAGTCATCTCTACGATTATACCGTCAAGCTTCTCTTCAAACTCCATTCCTGTGAGTACACCAGCCAGATCTTCTCTGAGCTTGTGGCCGGAAGGAGGGTCTCAACTTGAGGGTGCCCTGGAGAAATGCAGCTCCTCAGTGTCCCGGGCTTTCGGCTCCTGTCCCCAAAAGCTCTGGAGCGCCCAGCTGTCGTGAGGAGAGCAGGGCACAATCTTTGGTGGGCCCAATGAAGGACCCGGCTTGCCATGGTGGTGTCCCAGGATGGTCCTCTCCCTCCACTTCTAGTTTTACATGTCGTGTATTCTAAGAACCACACAAATGATGACAGTCCTGGCCCAGACCCACAGCAGCAAATGCTGTGCTTTCCAAAGGGTTCATCAGCACAGTCTCTCTGTACAAATGGAATTCTGTGGAGAAATATAAAATATTAAACAGAACTTCTCCAGTAAACAGAGGGCTGTCTGTTACCTAGCCACAGATTTCTGGGATGCTTTTGCCGAATCTATTTGGGAAATACTGGTCCTGCAAAAGATCTTATACTTCTATGTGCTTGCTTAAAACGATGTGTGTGGGTCCTGCTCCCACAGGGTCTGCATTCATCAGTCTTGTGGGTTCCGGGTCTGCATTGTTAAACTATATCCCAGATAAATGTGTTGTGGGTGGTGCCTGGGCCACACTCCAAGGTGGCCACCATGAAGGATATACACATACAGAGGGTGTGGGTGATAGGAAACCAAGAAAAATCAATACATGAGTGGATATTAGCAAGGTTTTCTTTTAGAATTCTTGGACAAGGGATGCTCTGGAGCTGTGGCCACTGACAAGGAGTGGATCTGGTTACTTAGACGGGGTTAGGGAGGCAGCATCACTTGGAATCCAGGAGGGTTTCGTGGAAGAGAGGTTTGAATTCAATGCTCAGGTGTTAGAAGGGCTTTGGAGCAGGTGGGCATACCTGAAGGGATCAGAGATTAGACTAAATTCCAAGAGAAGAAGGCAGTCAGTTACTTAGAGGCTCTGAATACAGATGAGCTTATCATTGTTTCTAAGGTGCTAGGGAACCCAGTTGCCCACTAGAACCTCCCCACTCCCTTATAAAGTGGTAAGTTATGAGAAGAGGCAGCCAATTAAGTGCGTATTTGGGTTTAAAGGCCTTCTTTAAAAGCAAAACAATACACTGATTGCCTCTGGGAAGGAGAACTGTGTGGCTTGGGGGAAGGGTGGGAGGGACAGACACTCCATACAGTATATTTTTTTCTAAAAATAAATGTTTTATTTTAGAATAGTTTAGATCTACAGAAAAGTTGCAGATAGTTCAAAGAGTCCCCATATACCCCAACCCAGTTTCCCCTGTTGTTACCATCTTACATTAATATGATACATTTGTCTCAACTAATCCACCGATATTGTTATTTTATTATTAACTAAAGTTCATTCTTCATTCAGGTTTCCTTAGTTTTTACCTAATGTCCTTTTTCCGCCCCAGGATCCCACATTACATTCAGTCGGGCTCCTCTTATTATAACTGTTTCTTATACTTATTTATGATGACCTTGACAGTTTTGAGGAGTCCTGGTCAGATATCTTGGAGAATGTCCCTCAATTTGAGTCTGTGCAGTGCTTTTCTCATGCCTGGACTGGAGTTAAGGGTTCTTGTGAGAAATATCACTGAGGCAAAGTGCCATTGTCACCTGCTGTACACTTTTGCCATTTCGAATTAGCACACCTTATACATGTACTACCTCTGTACATCAAATGAATGTGTCAGCTATTCAAAAATAACTAAGATTTAAATTTAAAAAATGAAACAAAAAACTAAAAGGATCTTTGTTTTGAGTTGTGCTCTAGCTGAAATACTCTGAGTCACACAATCTGTGAGGTGAAAGGACCTTAGAGAACCCGCCCAGGAGGAGGCTGGACCTAGGAGGCTGCTGCTGGTCCCACATCACAGAGTTAGAAGTGACCAAGTGGCAACTGGACCTAGATCCCCCAAGCCTTGGTCCCATGGTTTTAGCCTCTCAGGCAGGTTCTGTGGATTTCTTCCAGACTGATGTCTGCAGTGGGCCTCACCCAGGGACCTGCTGTAGTCACCCTAATGCTTAGCCAGGTCACCATTGCTTCTTCTGTGGTCAGGGACACAACTTCCGTCCACTGTGCCCAGCATGGCTTGCACTCCAGAAGCAAACAGAAGGAAAGATTTGGAGGATAAGCACCCCCAGATTCTCTCCTACTCCTGTTGGGCCCCCTTGGCTACCAGTCCTGGGGAAGCTTTCGGTCAGGAATGCCCAGTGGCAGAGCTGGCCCCAGGCCCCAGATGGATGGTCCCCTCCCTCCAGAGCCCCGCTGTCGCCTGCCTGCCCCCTTGGCCCTCCTCTTCTCACTCTTCCAATTTCTCCCAGGTCTCCCAGCCGACACCTTGCAAGGCCACCGGGACCGTTTCATGGAGCAGTTCACAAAGTAAGTGGCTTCAGTGATAGACATGAAGGCCAATCAGAAAGTGCCATAAAATCCATTAATCCATGCAAGAGCATTTGCTTTAAAATAATTGAGAGATGAGGGTATCTGCACTTTACAGCAAAAAGTGAAGGAAAGTAGCCAGGAGGGTGGCAAACCTACCAGTGGCCGGGTCTTGGTTCTCTAATCCCACAGAAGCACACAGAAGAAGGTGAGCCCATCGATTCAGTCATCACCTGCTTCATGCCCAGGGCTTCATCCTCTTCACGTTTTCTTCTCCCCAAGCTCTCATGGTCTTAGACCATGTACATGCTGACAACTCCCAAGTATGTATCTCTAGTGGAACCTTACCGCCGAATCCCACTCTCACGTACCCAATTGTCTGTTTGACATCTCTACACCAGACTTAAATCTCACACTGAACTCTAGGTTTTCTTCCAGGAACCTTTTCCTCACTGGTCTTTTCTATCTCAGTAAATACTGCGACCACCGTCCAATTAGGCCAGAGGTCTGGTTCTCACCATTGTCCTCGTCCCCCACCTCCAATCCATCCTTGGGTTCAGTTGATACTCTACAAATATTTCTTGGTTCCAGTCATGTCTCCTCCCATCTCTTCAGCTACCATTGCTGTCTGCCTGGACCGCCAATGTTGCCAACAATAACAATGTTGACAGGATGCCCCGGAGTTCCACTCCGCCCCACTGTCCTATCCTCACCCAGCAGTTAGTACAACCTTGTAAAAATGTAAATCCCTTGCTCAAAACCTTTCAATGGCTTCTGATTACGCTGAGAATAAAAGCCAAGCTCTTCTCCGTGGTCAAGGCCCTGCGTGAGCTGACCCCTGCCTGCCATCTATGACCTGGTCTCCAGAGCTCATAGTGCTTCAGCCACACGGGGTCCTCATCTAGTTCCTGGAACAGACTCAGCACGTCCCTCCCTCAGGGCCGTCACGCTTGCCGGTCCCTCTCCTGAGGATGCTCTTCTCCCTCCCAGGCTGGCCAGCCCCAGGTCATCTTTGGTCACCTCACTTCTCTTCCACAAACGCAGTCTCTGGCCACCTGATTTGAATTGGGCCTTCTTCCCCATCTCCTGATCTTCCAACCCCACCCCACTCACCCTCATTCTTTCTCACAGCACCCTATTTACTTTCTTCATAGTTCTTAGCACAATTTTATTTCCATTTGACTGTCTTGTCTTATATTCCTAGGACCTGACACATAGCAGTCAATTAAGCCTATAGTGTTCAATAAATATTTGAATGGATTAATGAGCTAATAAGCCAGCTATCTCGTCTAGAAGAGGCAGAGCTTGTCTGACTGAGGGGCAAATGACTCTGGTGCATTTGGGAAAGGAAACTGGTGGCTAGATGAAAAAGTACCGCTCATCTTTCAATTAAGTGTGCCCAAGAAGAGGGGCAAGAATAGAGTGGGAGAGAAGAGAACTGAGGGAGCCGAGAAGGGAGTCATAGCTTAGCAGGGTTTATTTTGACCCTCTTGTTTTTCCTGTTAATTTCTTCGTCCTTGACAATGGGGAAAGCATAGGTCCCAAATCCCAATCTTAGGCTTCTCCTGCTGGTTCCCGAGCAGCAATCAGAGGGCAAGTTTAGGGTTGTACTAACCTCCTGGTTTCCTTGTTCCATTTGAAAAGATTTGTATGTTTATTCTATAATAAATGACTTATTAAATCCTAGGAGACAGGCCCTGGGGTTGATTTCCTGGAATGTTAAATTCCAGTAGCTTTTGAAAGCAGCAGAGCCTATTACTGTTGGCTCCAGCCCAGAAGGAGGGGGACGTGTGATCTGGTGAATTTATTGCCTTTAATTTTTTTCTAGCTTATGAAAATATCTCCCGTGAGTAGCTATCTCCCTTCTCTCCCAACAGGCACGGTGGTTCTCTGAGGCGTCACTGTCCTCTAATTCTGGGAAAGCGGCAATGACATCACAGGGACTGTCCTAACCTTGAGGTTGAAAGGGCTATCGTGAGACCCCAGGGGTTTAGCTTATGGGGCTAAGCTGGAGAAAATTCTGTGTTGCAGAGAAAGGGTGCTGAGATCCATGACCCTCTTTTATTTCAGAAAATGTGTCTGGCGAGCTCAGCTTTCTTGGCCTTCAATGTTTAAATTCAAAATGGAGATTTGAAGGAGAAAAAAAATTGGTTTCTTCAGTCCCATATTCATCCAAGATTAGGACACAGTAGAAATATTGGGTTGTCGGAAGAGTCATGACACATTTTTGCAACGAAAAACATAGAAAAATACGTCATGACTTTTCGACAACCCAATAGTTTTTGTCCAATGAGTACTTGTTGACTAATTCCTCTAGGCTGGTACTGTAGTAAACCTCCATCAGCAGGGCCCAGTCTCTACCCTCTAGAAGCTTCTAGTCTAATTGGGGAGATAACAAATAGCTCTGACACAAGGGGAATTAAAAAGAGATCTACCTTAGTCATTAAATCCCCTTCCCTTTTCCTGTGGTTAGTTGGTTTATCCTCAGGGAAAGTAAATTTATTTTAATGTTACTCTAAGCCAAACATTCCTAGGAAGATACATCTGCCAAACATTTACATATATTCTCATTGATGTAGAAATTAGTTTTGGGTCATCTACACTTCCGAATGATTTTGTAGTTTGAATTACTCTTTCCTCGCCCACAGATAAGTGAGCACTGGCTATAAATACTTTCTCTATAGCATCATAATTGAGTTCCAGCACCATGGAGGCCATCTCCTTGACAGCCTGTGCCTTTGGGCTGGGCAGGCAGGAGGAAAGCAGGCGGTTGCACTGTCCCCACCCTGGGGCTGGTGAAGGCCCCCAGCCCCCTCAGGCTCTTCTCCATCCCTAGGTTGAAAGATCTGTTCTACCGCTCCAGCAACCTTCAGTACTTTAAGCGGCTCATTCAGATCCCTCAGCTGCCAGAGGTAAGTATGCCCAGTCATACCCTGGGGGCTGCCGAGGCCAGGGTATGCTCTTAGAGGCTGGCAGGTCTGGTGAGTGACACAGTTTGAGGATGTGTCGTCCTTCTTCAGAACCCACCCAACTTCCTACGAGCCTCCGCCTTGTCAGAACACATCAGCCCTGTGGTGGTCATTCCAGCCGAGGCCTCATCCCCTGACAGCGAGCCAGTCTTAGAGAAGGATGACCTCATGGACATGGATGCCTCCCAGCAGGTGAGGGCCACTTAGCCCTTCCCGTTACCCCCAAGTGTAGGGGAGAGGACAGGAGAGGCTCTAGCCAGGCCACATTGGTTCTAACCAGGTTTGGCCACCTTCTAACCTAACCTGTAACCTAGACTGAGCTCCCTGCCCCATGGTCCCTAGGAGGGAACATAAATTGGTTTGAAACAAATTAAGAGAGGGTCCATTCTTATTCACTCATTTCACCCCCTCCCAGAATTCTCTGGATTTCTAACTTTGTTCTAATCCGTTTTGGTCACCACAGAATTTATTTGACAACAAGTTTGATGACATCTTTGGCAGCTCCTTCAGCAGTGATCCCTTCAATTTCAACAGTCAAAACGGTGTGAACAAGGATGAGAAGTGAGTCCGAGCTGGGTTAATGCAGGTGGAGCAGAACCTAAGTTCATCACACCTAACCAAAGAGGAATTCTTAATGACGCTTGGGCTTCTTAGAGAACTATCTTGACCCTCAAATATTGGCCCGTTTAATCTCAAAGGAAAATCAAACGATGCTGAGATAACTGTGGACCTGTGGTTGTTAGATTAGTATCTGGTAACACTGACAGTCTTAGGGTATCATTTATGGAATTTCAAAGAACTGTCCCCAGATTAACAGCAGCTTTTAACTTCCACCCCGACCTTCCAGCTTCCATTTAAAATGAGAGGGAGTAGAAGCACAGTGGAAGCAAACTTGTTGTCTTCTTTTCCCAGGGATCACTTAATTGATCAATTGTACCGAGAGATCAGTGGGCTGAAGGCACAGCTGGAAAACATGAAGACTGAGGTAGGAACGGGCTCTGATTTGCTTCTGGGCTTCACCATAACAGGACAGATTTTAATATTAAATATGCTTCACAGACATACTTGTTGGACCACATCTTAAGGGGGGTTAATTAGTAAAAATGCCAAAGCCAGAGGAATCTGTCTTCCCATGGTCTCGATCGTAATGTATTTCCATTGTACTTGCTTTGAGAATGTCATTGAAGCCAAGTTTCATTGTCTCTGTGATAATGTCCCTTGGAGATAACCATGATCACCAACTGGCTGTGAAGCAGTGGTGAAGACCTATTCTAACATGGCAAGAAGGAGGTTTGATTTGTAACTCTGATGGCTGTTTGCAATGTCTGGTGCTATAAATATGCCTGCCCCTCAGACTCAGGGCTTTTTACTCACTGGGGCAAGCGAACACCCTCTCCTTTCTGATTCCAGCCGGTCCATCACCGCTCCCAGACCACTCTAGCAGGACCAGAACACCCCTGCCATCCTCCCTTGTTGTTGCTGGTTGGGTGGCTTGTCATGACCAGAAGGCTCAACTCTCATGAGGCCTTGGGAATGGGCTTGTTAGGAGAGCCTAGGTGTTTATGTGGTCGGTGCTGGAAACATGGCAGGACATGCTGCTCCGCCCAGCACACCCGGCCCTTGGCGAGCCGTGCAGCGATTGGCCTGGTTACCTAAGCCCCGCCCACAGAGCCAACGGGCGGTGCTGCAGCTGAAGGGCCGCATCAGCGAGCTGGAGGCCGAGCTGGCTGAGCAGCAGCACCTGCGGCAACAGGCGGCCGATGACAGCGAGTTCCTACGGGCAGAGCTGGACGAGCTCAAGAAGAAGCGAGAGGACACGGAGAAGGCACAGCGGAGCCTGACAGAGATAGAACGTGAGAGGCTGGCGGGGGTCGGTGTGAGGGTGGGGGTCGGGGAGATCAGGACGGAGGAGGAGGCTGGGTGGCAGGGCCCCAGCCAGCTCGTGTCACCAGTCAGCGGGCAGCTGGGAATCTGGCAGATAGAGCACCTGTGTGAGGCACTGCTGAGAACATGGGGATGGGGACTACAGAAGGTGACAAGGGCATGCCTGACCCCGGGGAGTGGAACTCTGAAAGAGGGATAGCCCAAGAAATCATTTAACTTATGGACAAACACACTGATAAAGTAAATGCCGTGTGTGTAAATGCTCAGGAGGCATGAATCAGGGTAGTGATTTGAGCCAGGTGAGTTTTTTTTTTTAAAGAAGACTTTCCCGAGGAGTTCAAGTAGGATTTTTGAGGGAGAAGAGGTGTATGTATTTGTGAAAAGAAAAGGGGGTCTTCTAGGGACTCTGGCTTATTGGAAGGTGGGTGGAGGGTCCCAGCCAGGTAGACTCCTCACCTGGTCCTTGACCATCCAGGGAAAGCCCAGGCCAATGAGCAGCGGTACAGCAAGCTGAAGGAGAAGTACAGTGAGCTGGTGCAGAACCACGCTGACCTGCTGCGGAAGGTAGGACCCTCAACCCCCTCTCACCACACATAGGCCCCATACTACATGGGAGGGGGCAACCCGGGCCTCACGGCTTCTCCAGGCCCAGCGCCCCCACCAGTCTCCAGTGGGTCACCACCATTTCTTGGGAACCTCAGCTTTTCAGGCTCCCTTGCCTCCCGTATCTTGAGCTCCACCTTAGATGCCAGCCCCACTTGCATTTTCCCCCATTTTTATTATTTTTATAAATACTTGAGATTCAGTATTTGCAAAGGACAGCTTTCTTCTGGCTTCCCTCTGGGTAGAAAAGTGATTTCTGTGTGCGACCCTAGAGCACTCATGGTCTGAATGCTGTCATTTGTTCTAGAAGGAAGATGTCCTTTAAGCCTGAGATAAGCCACTTCAAGATACTGTTCTTCCCTTACAGAATGCAGAGGTGACCAAACAGCTGTCTGTGGCCAGACAAGCTCAGGTGGATTTGGAACGAGAGAAAAAAGAGCTGGAGGATTCCTTCCAGCGCATAAGTGAGCAGGCCCAGCGGAAGGTGAGTGGGAGGGAGGCGTACGTGGCAAATGACGGAGGGGTCCGTCTGAGTCAGAGGTGGGCCTTGATCAAAAGACCTTGCCATCTTCTGCACCACAGGCAGTTCTGTGGGTTGGAGTCCTGTGAGGGTTCTACGAGACGCCATATAGAACAGGAGATGGTTACCGATGCATAAGGGGTTAGAAATAAGGAAGGGACCCAACCTGAGTGAGGTTCATCAGCAAAGGTTTTCCGGGGCGAGTCTCGAGGAGAATTTGAAGTGAAAGCACATGGATGTCAGAGAGAGGACCAAGGTTTTTACAAGGAGTTACAGTTGGGGGAACACCCATGAGTTGAGGTGGAGTTGGCAGGCCAGGCAGGTTGGAGTAAGTGATGTCAGGTGGGTAAAACTGAATGCCTTATATTTTGAGTAGTGGCTTTCACACTTTCCTGTGACCCAGAGTAAAAAAACACATCTATTTCATGGAAATAAAAGTTTCATAAAGCAATAGTTGTCTTTACTATGTGAATGTGTTTGATATTTTTTTGCTCTGTAATTTTGTTTTAAATGTTAGCTGTGAATTTTTACTAATGGGTCACAACTCACCCTTTGAAAAACACCACTTAGGAAAAGAAAACCAAAGAAGGTGAATCATTTCCTGATGGTGAGATTCAGTGATGTACCAGGTGTTGGGGTGCCTGAATTAAAGATCCAGTACTACGTTAATGAGTATTATGGGCTTAAACGTGACATTCAGGAAATGTCCCTAAAATACCCCTCTTGACATTCATTCCACTTCCCCAGAAGAAAAGTTTTGGGTGCATTCTGGCTTTTCACCTCTTCACCACCCACCCCCAACCCCCCCTTTTTTTTTGGCTGAAGTAAAACTTGCATACAAAAGAGTACACAAATCTTTAGCTCAGGGATTTTTTTTTTACATGTTTATTCTTAGTAACCACTAGATTAAGGTGCTCCTAATTTTTTTTCTTTTCTTTCAGACCCAAGAACAGACAGAAGTACTGGAGAACTTAAAGCAAGAACTTGCCACCAGCAAACAGGAACTCCAGATTGTCCAAGGCAGCCTAGAAACTTCTGCCCAGGTGAGCAACACCTCCTTTCTTTCTCTTCCTCATTCTTCTCCACTCTGGCTGTCATATTGCTGTCACCGAGTCTCTATCACCATCCAGCATATGGCCAACCTGGTCCCACCTGTGATCAGTGTATACTTGGGGAATGAAAGTGGCAGGTTAAAGAAATATCACCTTCTGCTCCTTGTTGCCTGGTGGTAGATTTGGACTTACAGGAAGGGGACAGTTTAATTCCTCCCAGCAACTTTTCCCATGTTGTTGCAGTCAGAAGAAAAATGGGCAAGCCAGATCGCCAAACTGGAGAAGGAGCAGGGCAGCTTGGTGAATGCCATGGCCCGTCGAGAGGAGGAATTCTCTGCTCTTCAGGAACAGCTGGAACAGACCCATCTCAAACTGTCCAGCACAGAGGCAAGTAACGGACAGCTGCTCAGGTTGACCAAGTCCAACTGACCTCATAGCCCTGGGCCTCTGTGGTGTATTCATGGCAGCCGGGGGCTGTGAAAGGGGTTTGGGACCTCTAGCCTGATTGTGAAGGCATTCTGTCAGCACAGCCCTAACACCTTGGGGTTACCTACAGAACAGATGAGGGAAAGCAAAGCTGTCTCTTTGTTGTGTGAAAAAGGGATGCACTTAACACTCTCCCCAAGATTGGAGAACGGGCTGCAGTGGTTCATTCCCACAGCCTCCTGTGCTCAGTGACACACACCTGTGGACAAAGCGACAGCTTGAGCTGAGAGGCCAGGAATGTGTCACAGGTGGATGAATGCTGCTCACTGGCTGCTATGGGGTCTGTGGCAGACTCTCACCCTCCTGGACCATTTCTAGGAATCTATGTGCCAGCTCGCAAAGAACCAACGAAAAAAGCTTCTGGCGGAGTCGAGGAGGGCTGCAGAGCAGGTGATTCAAGACGCCCTGAGGCAGCTCGAGGAGCCCACTCTCATCAGCTGCGCCGGCTCTGCAGGTACTTCTTCCCCAGCTCGCAGGTGCCGAGTCCTTACAGCCACCTATAGGCATTAAGTCTCATGTGACACTGCACTCAGGGGCTCTCTGCCTGGCTGCGTGTCAGGACTGTCTGGGATGCCTGGGCCGTAGTATTTTCTAAAGCCCCCAGATGTGATAACTACTGCTTTAGTCATGGATTACACTGATGAAACGCCCACCGGGAGCAGAGCCTTAATAACAATTCTAAAGGTCGGTAGCAGAGGGACAGACAGTCCTGTGTCTGTAAGAAGAAAACTGTGGTCTGGATCAGGCGATGGTTGCTCATGAGCTTCAAGGTAGACAGGGCGGCATCATAAAGCACAGAGGGGCAGAAACAGTAAAAATCCCCAGTCACAGGTATGAACAGGGGCCCGCTTTGCATGTATCAGTCCTAAGGGCATGCGGGTAGAGCAGTGGTCCAAGTCAGAGGAGCCCTCTGGATGAGAGGAGAGGGCCTTTGTGCACAGCAAGTTGTAGAGCATCCAGGCCCAAGGGGTTTGTGAAGTCATGGACGAAGCCATGAGCAGAACTCATTACAGCTCACTGTCAAGCAGAGGAGACAGGCTGGCAACGTGATGAGAGGTTCCCTTGAAGGACAAGGCAGACGGGGAACAGCTGACAGTTGATGTTTAGTATAAAATATAGAAAGGCCTCAATGTGGTGCCATATATAGCGAGGACTAATTATATCTTATTCAGCAAGGAGCCCATCTGTGAGGAAACACAACAGTTACAAATGAAGGAGCACACTGGTACCTAATGTACTGAGGGAATGCCAGGAAATGGGGTTGCAGTGGGTTGATCCTGAGAAGATGCTATGAGCTGGCTTTTGAAGGAAGTGGAGAGGAAGAAAAGTGGGGAGCATAATAAAAACAGCTGACATTTACTGAGTACTTGCTGTGTGCCAGGCACTATTCTAAGCGCTTTCCATGCCTTGGCACAGCGAGGCCTCCTAATGACACCAGAGGTGGTACTATTATTCCTCTGTTTTCAGATGAGGAAGCAGGCTCATACTGCCTGTGATCACCACCAGTGATCACCACCAGTATAGCTAGGAGCCACACCTAAGCCGTGTGACCAGAGAGCCCATACTTTAACTCATGTGAGATAGTCTCCGTGGACCTGAGCACAGAGGCTCCGCTGTGGGAATGACTGCTGTGTGCAGAGCACAAGCATAGATTAGCCTAATGGGAGCCAAGGGTCTAGGCTCAAGATTCGTGAGAGTCCAAGGGCCTTGAAAGGCTTAACAGGAAAGCCCGGATTTGATACCATGGGCAGTAATGGGATGCAGAATCTAGACTGGCAGTGTGGTTGCCCCGGTTCTTGGCTAAGGACCAGATAGGCTCAGAAGCGCAGTGTTTGAAGCTACAGTAAGAGAACCCTGTACCAGTGTAACCTTTCCTCCCTTCCCCTGTCTTAGGGCAGCTCCTGCAGGGCTGGGGCCGCTCACTGGGCAGGCTCAACCGTCGGGTGGCTTAACTAACAGGGATAAAGCAAGCTGCGACAACTCGGGCTTTGACTGCCTTGTCTTCCCTCTCACAGATCACCTTCTCTCCACGGTCAAGTCTGTTTCCAGCTGCATCGAGCAACTGGAAAAATGCTGGAGCCAGTATCTGGCCTGCCCAGAAGGTAAGAAAGGCAAAGAATGGAATCTGTTACTAGTGATGGCTAGACAACGTTCAGAAATGCTTGAATGTAGAAATAACGATGGGTTCCTAGGTACCGAGAAAGGAGTGTATACAACTCGTAAAGCAGGGAGGGACGGGGTATGAAAATGATAACCCTCAAGCAGGACTGAGAAGCTTTCCTTTAAACTCCTGGCAGATATCAGTGGGCTTCTGCACTCAGTAACCCTTCTTGCCCACTTGACCAGTGACACCATTGTTCACGGTAGCACCACCTGCCTTAGAGCCCTGCCGGAGCCTGCTGACGGTGAGTACCAGGGGTGAGGGGCCGTTGAGGAAAGCAGGGGGAGCAGAGGGCCTTTCAAAGTCTCTGTTGCCTCGCATCTCCAGCACTGACTGAGGCCTGTAAGCAGTATAGCAAGGAAACCCTCATCTATCTGGCTTTCCTGGAGGAAGAAGGAACCCTTGAGAATATCAACAGCACAGCCATGAGGAGCTGTCTCAGCAAGATCGCAGCCATTGGCGAGGTATTACTGGGGCAAGTTATTATTGTTCTTGGGTGTGAGTGCTGGTGATTGCTAGGGAATCAGTGATGTCCTAAGCCAGTTATTTCTTTAAACTTGATTCTAGAAAATGAGAGCTGAAAAATCTGACATCCCCCCCCTTCCCAAATGACTTTCCAGTTCCATTTAATTCATTGGCTATTCATTGAGAATCTGCTATGTGATTGTCACTATGCTAGGTGATATCAAAGAAGAATAAACATAGTTTCCCTGTTTTCAAGAATTTTTATATGGTTGGGTAGGTAACACCTAAAATGGAGATAACAATATATTTATTCATGCAATAAAGATACAGTGAATATGTCCTATGTACTGGGAATTGTGCTAGGTGTAGTTACATAGAGACAGGTAAGACATGGTCTCTACTGGAAAGAAAAAGAAAGCAACCATTTTTATACAGTGTGCTGAGCACTGTAATGGAGATCTGTTTTAAGAGTACAGTACAAGGCAGCACTTATTCCTGAAATGTGCTGTGATAAGTTGAGAGAAGAAAGAGATAAGGGCCAGAGTTCAGATCCACATCATCTCTCATTTGAACTCTTAAAACAGCCTTCTGATGTGTTTCTCTGCCTTGGGCCTCTTTCCTCTGCTCTCTTCCAAAAACAGATCTGATTATGATCCCTCTTCTTTGATAACAAAAATCATATTATGTAACGTGACAGTCAAGGACCTTCAAATCCTGGCCCTTACCTTCCTGGGCCCCTCTCGCCCACTTCCTTTACCTTACAGTTGGTGGCTAGCACTGTAATGTGCCTATTGCCTGTCTATTTCCCCCAGCTGAGTCCTCAAAAGTAGAGCCCATACCTTCTTCATATTGTATCCCCGGTCCCTGGACTAATATCTGGCAGGCGGTTAACACCCAGCAAATGTTTAACTAATTGAATATGCACACACACAGAGAGAGAAAACAGATAAAGAGATGGATCAGATGGGGGAGAAAGGTTCATAGTGGGGAGAAGTAGGCAGTGAGGTGGAGAACCCTTTATGTCTGGATAAAAGACTATGGACAATGGTGAATTGCTAACCTCTCTTTCAATAGGGTGACTTGATCATGGTGATACTTGGTGTTAGTGAATTGATTCTGGTGGCCTAGGCAGCATTACCACAGCCTGCCTTTTGTTGGAGATAGAGCATCTTCCCCAGTATATTTCAGAACTGAAAACTCAGTATGCACATGTAAAGCATATAGGATACCATGAGGAGATAAAAAGTTAATGAAAGCAAAGCAACATGCGATAGATTACGGGCAAGTTTCCTTCCTGGCAATAGGGCTGACTAGATGTTTAGAGACTCTTCCCAGGACCGGACATGGAAAATGCTGAATAAAATTTGAAAATTTTATTCAATTGAATATGAGCTAAGGAAATTTTCAGACTCAAACCAAAAGGATACCAGAACCAGTGTTTGTCCAACTCTCGAGGCTTAGAGCTTGGATTTTAATGGGCCACACATACAGAGGAGAACAAAGAAACAAAACCTGAGTCCAAGTAGGATAAAATATTGAAATGGAGAGCCTTCTTCCCCAAAAAGGCAGTCCAAAGGGTCACACCTTGAGTGAATGGGAGAAAAGCCTGCCCTACAGCGGAGATCTTATCTCAACCTTGACAAGACAGAAAACACAGCTGCCCAGAGAATTCCTAACCACAAGCCACCTTTCCAGGGGTTCAGGCTCAAATCTCATACTACCTGTGTGGCCTAAAAAAAACTCAAACAGAAAATTAAGCTTAAAGTATTCAGGTGGTTAGGGGCCCAGATACCTGGCAGAAGCAGGTCCCAGTTGTCTCGGAAGGAATATACTTGGAATCTAAACCTTAAAGAAGTTTCATAGATAAAGTCCCAAGGAATATAAGTTCACAATAGCTATGTTTGGCATGTTAAAGAACTTTTTAAAAGGTGTTAAGAGTGTGACCGAGGAATAAGATATTTTCAAAACTAACCAGATATATTTGAAAAAGAACCACAGAACTTTTAGAAATGAACAATATAATCACTGAAAGTAAAAACTTTAAAATACACAGATTCAACAGCAGGTTAAAACAAAGCTGAAGAAAGAATTAGTGAACTGGATGATAGAACTGAAGGAATTACACAGAATATGGCACAGATTTTATATGTTGGAATATATAGGTTATATATAGAATGTTTAATCAGAGTTCTAGAAGAAGATAATAGGAAGACTATATTCCCTCCACCTCCGACCCTGCATGGAACATATTATTAGTTCTACGTGTTGAAGACTTTTCTTCTACAACTTGGCTTTTTCCAACATTCTGTGTATGAGATTCACCCAGGTGGGTACATTCATTTTCACTGCTCTATTGTGTGAATATTGCTTAATTTTTTATATGTATTCTCTTGTTGATGATGGACATTTGGGTTATTTCCAGTGTGGAGCTGTTATGAATAAATGTGCCACTACGATCATTCTTTTTTTGGGGGGGTTTTTTTTAGCTGAGCCATCCTGCCACCTGTTGGCAGCTCAGCGGCTGCTCAGCACGGGCCAGGACTCGAACCGCTGTTGCTCAGAGCTCTCACTCTTGAGTGAGCTCTTAACCAACTGAGCCACTTATGATCATTCTTATACACATCTCCTGATGCACATGAGTAAAAGTTTCTCTCAGGTATATACCTAGGAATCAAATTACGAGGTTATAGGATGGATCTCACACACAGAATGCTGAATGAAAAAGCAAGTCATCGAAAAATACATACGGTATTCCTTTTAATAAAGACCAAAACGTGCAAATTTAACATATTGTTTAAGGATGCATTCATATGGAGTTTAAAAAAAAACCATTGTAGGCATTCTCCTGAATTTGGTGTTCATCTTGGTGTGGGGAGTAGGGAGGATGGGAGATGGGATCAGGGCAGGATACAAAGGAGATTTTGAAGATACTAATAATGTTTCTTAAGCTATTAAGTTGGGTGGTGGATAACATGGGCCATTGTTCTTATTCTTTAAACCATGTGTATCTATTTTCTCCGCTTGTATGTATAACACATAACATTTAAAAACAATCTTGGGCCATCAGACCTGAGTTCGAATCCCTGCTCCACCATTTCTTAGAAGTGTAACTGTGGTCAAGACATTTCACCCCCTTGAGCCTTGGCTTCCACTCTGTACAGCAGGAGTAGTAACTGCCTCATATGATTGCTGTGGGAGCAAAGTTAAATAAGAGGCAGGCTGTCTGGTTGGAAGACATTATCTACATTTGAGGAGGTTTTTAAAACATACCTCAAGCAGCAGATACAATCAACACTGTGCAACTGTGGGGTTAGGGTCCAAGCAGCCGCAACTGAAGGGCCTTGTGGGGTTCAGCAGGGGTGGCCTTCTGGAAGGAGATGGGTTCTGAGTGAGGGCGGAGGGTGGAGCATGCGTCTCCAGAGGTCACAGCGTGAAGAGTGCCAGACAAGGCCTAGGAGGGATGCCTCTCCACGGCTTACAGAAACGTGTTACGTGTGGGGCCCTCCTACCTCCTGAATTACGTGAGGCTTACATGTCTGCCACAGGAGAATAGAGAGAGGGTCGAGGGGTCATTTCAGTCTTTGTGATGCTGTCCACAGGAGCTCCTGCCCAGAGGCCTGGACATCAAGCAGGAGGAGTTAGGGGACCTGGTGGACAAGGAGATGGCTGCCACTTCAGCTGCCATTGAAACCGCTACCGCCAGAATTGAGGTATGTGAGTGTCTGAAGATCCCCTCAAGTGATGCTCTTGCAGCTGCCCTTTGGCAGCATTTCCTGTTGGATGTATCTCAGTCATTCACTGAGGCCTCAGAGGCCCCTGTAAAAATAAACCAAAACCCAAACTCCCCAGGATCTCTGAGGGATAGAAAACGAGGAAGTTCTCAACAAGGGAAGGTGAGCACTTTCCTCCAGAATTACACATACTTTGGTGTCAGGCCATCCTGCATTCAAGTTCCAGATTGATGGATTCCTTACTAAGTGTATAACTTCCAATAAGTTACATTAGTCTCGCCAAGCTTCAGATCCCGTTTTCAGCTGATAGCGATAATAAAAGCACAGGTACCTCAGAGGGATATTGTAAAAGTTAAATGACAAGGCACATCTCTCCCAGTGCCAGGCTTTCAGTAAATCAGTGGCAACACTTGTCTCAGGGAAAAGCTGGGTGGGCACCATTGGAAAGGTCACCTATTGCTCCTTTGGTAGAAGACAGGCAGCCCATCTGCTGAGAGCCTGCCTCTGGACCCGGCAGCAGCCACCCCTGGTGGCACAATGCCATAGCTCTTGGAGTTCTGTGCACATCAACCTGGGTGCCAGAATGTCAAGACACTCAAAGACGGCAGTGCCAGCCTGCTGTGACTGCCTCCCACTGCATAGATCGGAAATCTGGATTCTTCTCCCAATTTTCACAAGGATGTGGATGGGCTCATCTAAATTTGGATAGTGGACCCAAAGTGTAGTAGGACATCAGTGGCTTCTCAGGACCTGTGACATCTGAGAAACCCTGTTTTTTTAAAATTTTTTATTGTTAGTTTCAGGTGTACAGAACAATGCAATAGTTACCCTTTTCACCCTCACAAAGTAACAACCCCTCACCCCCGATATCATGCTTGTCTATTACAATTCCATTGACTCCATTCCCACTCTCTACTCCATGTCCCGAGACTATATGTATATATAATTATAGTTGACATACAATATTATTCAACCTCTGTTTTTTTTTTAACAGGAAATGCTCAGCAAATCCCGAGCAGGAGACACAGGAGTCAAATTGGAGGTGAATGAAAGGTCAGTCTGAGCAGCTGGTAGCACCTTAGTGATCAGTAGTAGTCTTTCTGCATTAGATTCTACTAATTAGATAGAACATTATAGCCACAGGGAAGGGTTGAGTCTAGGTAATTGTCAATAACTGTGTTAATGATGCTGATAGCTCACTGTTGCATTATAGGGGAAAAGAAACCCCCAAGAATCCTAACTTAGCTGTTCCTTATGAAGAAGACCCACAGTCAAGCTACCTTTCCTTCAGGTCTTCAACCTGCCTTCTTTCCCATTCCAAGTTTGCCCGTGTCCAGGAATGAAAAGGAACAGGCTTCTTCGTTGTTGTTGGTCTGTTCTTTGTCCCTCACTTTTTAAATCTTTTTTTTTTTTTTTGCAGGATTCTTGGTTCGTGCACCAGCCTAATGCAAGCTATTCAGGTCCTGATTGTGGCCTCAAAGGACCTCCAGAAAGAGATAGTGGAAAGCGGCCGGGTAAGCGTGGGCGGGGGCCCGTGGACAGGGAGAACAGACATCAGTGACAGATTCCCAGCTCACTGAGAGGCTAAGTCTATTCAATACACTCACCCACATTCAGTGAAATCTGTGTGTGCTGTCGTCTCACCCTGCGTGTCCTTCCGAGGGCGCAGCTGCCACTCCTGTGGATGTCAGCAGATGCCAAGGGGAGAAACTGGAACACTGCCAGGTCCCCAGAGAGAGCAGCCAGCCGGAGCTTCCAGCTACAGGCTCATTAACCCAGGCGGACATCACTGGAACCTGCTGTGGAAACCCAGTGTGCACTGCGAGTCTGGGCCCTTAGAGGAGGAAGTGAGGGCTTTTGAAAACTGGGCAAATTAGAAGAGAGAACCTGGTGCTGATTTTTCACAGTGGGTTCCGCTGTGTCTCTTTCCAACAGCAGTCGGTTCACAGTGATTCAGACAGACTCTGCCTCAGTCTCCTGTTGACAGCGTCACTGATTTTCTCCTTTGCTGGTGTTATTGCCATCCTGTTTTTTCTCACATCCCTGATGCAGCTGCGGCTCAGAAGACAAAGTTCTAGGGAAGGTTTATGAGCCTGGAAACAATCACATAAAGAACAAAGCCATATCTGATTTGGTTGGTGGTACCTTTTGTCAGTCTGAGAGGTGATGTTTTTGGTCCCCAAAATAGAAAGAGGAACACAGCATGGAGTATCTGCAGATTCTCAGACTATCAGACACTTCCAAAGCATAAATGCATTTTTAAATCCAAGTAGAAATAATTTTTAAAAATTATTCATTGATACTCTTCTCTTTGGGCAAATCATGAAGAACAGCTAGACTCCCCTGAGATCATAAATTATTCATAAGTACATATATAAAATACACATACACACATACACAATGTAGAAATATAATAGTAATGCTATGAGTTTTAGAGTCAGAAAAGCCTAGGATTTACTTCCATTTATTTCCTGCATGACCTTGGGAAAAGTATTTTTGCCTCTCAGTATCTTAGTTTTCTTATCTGTAAAATGGGAATAATAAAGCTTGCCTTTCAGACTTACTGTGAAAACTATATGGGGTAATATATATAAAAGCACCTGGCACATAGTAGGCATTCAATAAAAGGTAGCTATTATTATTTCTCACTTCTCTAGGGCACAGCATCCCCTAAAGAGTTTTATGCCAAGAATTCTCGATGGACAGAAGGACTCATCTCAGCCTCCAAAGCTGTGGGCTGGGGAGCTACTGTCATGGTGTAAGTGTCTGTCAGTCCCCAGGCTCCTCCCTCCCACCCCCATGCCATTGATCCATCCCAGAGAAAAACCTGCCCCCCTAGAAATACGCTGTTGATAAGGAAATCAATAGGACTGAAAGTTTAGAAGGGAGCCTGGGTCTCCTGGGGTAGCACAGGCTGTGCTCCCTGGCTGCCGGCATGATGAGGGTGGCCTAGAGATGTAGAGCTGAGACTGCAACAGTCACATAACTCCATCTTGTCCTTTCCTATCTGTCAGTGATGCAGCCGATCTGGTGGTACAAGGCAGAGGAAAGTTTGAGGAGCTAATGGTGTGTTCCCATGAAATTGCTGCTAGCACAGCCCAGCTTGTGGCTGCATCCAAGGTAGGACCCTTCTTGACTCCCGGGACACTGTAAGGCCTGGCTAGGTTAGAGATACTTAGACCATGGAGCTGGTCCCAAGAACAGATGATTTATCCAGGGTCCAGGTGGGTTGGGTCCCAAGTGAAAATTCTGCCTCCCAAGGGTCCCGTACCACGCCTCTCTAAAAGCCTTTCATCTGTCAGCAAGGAGCCCTCTGCCCAGCTCGCCACATGAGCTCCTCTGGGCTCTCCTCACTTGGTTACAAGTGGCCTTTGAGGGTCCCACTGGTGCCGACCTGATTAGCGATCATGGCATTCCAGGAGCACTCAAAGATGGAATGAGTTGGCGCAGTCAGATGGTTATCTGGCTTGGCCCAGAGCTCCCATAACCAGTGTCTGCCTATCCTAGAGTCTTCAGACTTGAACACTTGCCCCAACTAATCCCAATGCAAAGCTTGTCATGAAAATCCTTCAATGAGTTTTATAATCCCCCAAGGAGTGCTGTTTTATCGTCCTTATTTATTGTCCCAAATTGGTTTCCATAACTGCAGCACTTCATCGAAGTAACTGATAAAGCTAGAGTTTGAGGCCACCAAGCAAATAAGCCAGGAATAATATTTTTATATCAGAGATACGCCCCGAGTTGACCCCACAGGCAATGATTTTTGAGAAGTTAAATTGGTTACCACAGTGGATCACATGTATTTGTCAAGAGCCATCAGCCCAACTCTTTGACTCAGTCCTTCCTGCCGCCGTATGTTTTATGAACCCAAATCTGCTTGGTCCTGGCAGGTGAAAGCTGATAAGGACAGTTCAAACCTGACCCAGCTGCAACAGGCCTCTCGTGGGGTGAACCAGGCCACTGCCGCTGTCGTGGCCTCAACCATTTCTGGCAAATCACAGATTGAGGAGACAGGTAGCCTTTCAGAAGCAATACTTTTCTTACCCGTCCTATTTAGCTGTTCTTTACATTCTTCTCCATGATCCCAATTTCCCACAGTTCTGTTTCCAAATCCTCTCTTATTTTTCATCTTTTTATACTCATACTTATTTTCTCAGAAGAAGGGATACCACATAAGCATGCTATTTATATTGTTATAGTGACACACCATTAGGGAAATGTTCCATTTAGCCAGTTCTCTGAATTCAAAGAAATGCCTCTGCAGGCCTGGTTGTCCGGGGGTAGAAGGGTGGGAGTTCTGATCCTGGTTCCCTTGTCACTGCGTGCGTCTTCCTCTCTATCCCTCACTTATGTGCACGCATGTGTTGGTAAATGACAAACCAAGCATTTAAGCAGAGTTGGCCTCAGCGACACCTCAGGCGAGAGTCAGCCAGGGGTAGTATTTGACAAAACCTTCTCATTTCCATCCTTGCAGACAACATGGACTTCTCAAGCATGACGCTGACCCAGATCAAACGCCAGGAGATGGATTCCCAGGTAGGCCCTCCATCTCTAAGCCTAGCCCATCTCTGTTGCTTATGACGTTGACGCCAACTATTATTCCCATGGTGAGAAGCCAGTAAGAGAGAGAACGGGGGGAAATGAACTTAGATATACCTTTTAGTCCAAGAGAGTGTAAATGATGCTGGAAGAAATAGTGAAGGTGGAGCGAAGTGATGAGTAAAGGTCAGGATCTTAACTCTTGCCTACTAGTCTTGGACTGGGGTCCCTCTAAATGTTGTCAGGGATCTCCTAGCCAACCATAAACTGGCATTTAACAATATTACTATAGACAATCTTTTTAAACTTCAGGTATGAGTTATTTATGACCTTTATTTTTGAAAAAATCAATTCACTGTTAACCCATGAAAGGCAATGCCATGTCTCTCAGTTGTTCTATAAAATAATGCCATGCAAAATAGGAATCAGTGGGATCTTGGAAAAAACCTGACATCCTTGTTCTAGAATTACTTGTCATCAGTCTTGGGGTAAAGTCCAGGCTGGGACTGTTAAAGTCTATGGATGGGTCACTCAGCATCTTTAGGAAAGGTCATGTGGCCAAATTTCTGTGTAAACACTAAAAGAATTGAGCTCGGACCTGAGTCTCCTCTATCTACACTTGCTTAGTGGTCTCATCCAGTCCCTTTTGACTTTAAATACCATCTATATGCTGATAAATACCAAATTCTTCTCCTGAGCCTAGATCTCCTCTTTGAGCTTTATACTTGTCTAACTGCCTACTTGATATCTCCATGTGATGCTCAATAAGCATCTCAAACTTAATATGTCCAAAACAGGTCTCTTCGTTTCCCTATTACACAAATGTGTCCCTCCCCTGGTTTTCTCTATCTCAGTAAATGGTACCACCACCATCTAACTGAGTGCAAAGCCCCAAACCTAGGAGTCATCCTCGGTTCCTCTCTTTCTCTTACCCTCTACATCCAATCCACTAGCAAGCCTTATCAACCCGAAATCTCCAAATCAGAGCCTTAATTAATCTTCCCACTTTTTTCCATATCCCTAACCTAGTCTAAGCCACCATTGTGTCTCTCCTGAGCTACTGCAAAGGCACCTTAACTATAATGTATGTGAGTCTGTTTCAAAATAATCCCATGGCAGGGCCAGGGTGATGGTGGTGGTGGGAGAACAAGAAAGAATATTGCTGAGACAAGTCTGACCATGAGTTTTTAGATAGTGGAACTATAATAGGTGAAAGGCACATGATGAAGTTCACTGTATCAGTCTCTCTCCTTCTGTATATGTTTTACATTTCCCATAATAAAAAGTTTAAAAACAAAAAAAGAACCACTTACCATGTTTCCCCAAAAATAAGACTGGGTCTTATATTAATTTTTGCTCCAACAATCTACATTTAGTCATTTATTCCTGTACAAAAATCTACATTTATTCAAACAGTCATGCCTGGCTGACAGTCTTAACTGGGGCTTATGTTTGGGGTAGGGCTTATATTACAAGCATCCTGAAAAATCATGCTAGGGCTTATTTTCCATTTAGGTCTTTTTTTGGGGGAAACACGGTAACTGGGTATAGTTATTTCCACTCTTGCCACTCTACAGGTCGTTCGTTCTTTAGTTTTTTGAAAGCTGAAGTGACAACGTGTCACTTCACTGCTAAAGATCTTCCAATGGCTTCTCTTTGTACTTCGATTAATATCCAAACTCCAAACCCCAGCCCGTGGGCCCTGAGTGAAATGAAAGGATCCTTGCCTATTTCTCCAACCTCATCTCATGACACTCTCCCAGTCTCACATATTAACTGCACAGGATTCTGTCTTGTTCTCCCAACACTGCCTGAGAGCCTACTTCCCCTGCCTGAAATATTGTTCCCCAGCTCTCTGAACAGTTGATCTCTACAGCCATTTAGTTTTCAGCTCCCAAGTTACTTCCTGAGGGTAGCCTTTTCTGATCATCCTTATTTAGTCTTTGTCCCATCATTTTATGTCATTTTTATAATCTAATCTTGTTCATTAGCTTGTCTCTTTCCCCTACAAGATAAGCAGGGACCATGTCTGTCTGTGCATCAGTATCTCCAGCACCTACAACAGAGCCTGCGGTACATGATGGATGCTCAGCAAATAGTTCTTGAATTAATAAATAACTAAAATGAATGAAGAGTAGGGATAGCCAAGAACCCACCTCTCCTTTAGTGCGATTGTGCCTGTACAATAATAACCCTAAGTTGCACCAGCCCCTCAGAGATGCCAGAACCATCATATTTGGTTCCAGGGAACCGGGACTGAAGGGTTTTGACTAGATTGGAACACACCATACAGAGATGTCAAACATTAGAGATTTCTTTTGGCTAGTGATTTATCAGAGGAACATAAGATAAGCCCTACTCCCATTCAGGCACTGGGACTGTAAATCATCATTCCTTTCCAGTAGAGGGTCCCAGTGAGAAAATATAAGATAGATGGGATAGATGGGTGAATGAGAGAATGGAGAAATTAGAGCAGAGATGAGATTAAAATTGAGAACTGAGTAAGCTATAGAAACAGGATGAATGATATGGAAGAAGAAAACTGGAACACGGAGAAAAAGGGATTAAGTCAAAATAAGACAGTTCTCAAACCACCGCTCAAAAGAAAATTCCACTTTCCCCACAGGTTAGGGTGCTGGAGCTAGAAAATGAACTGCAGAAGGAGCGTCAAAAACTGGGAGAGCTTCGGAAAAAGCACTACGAACTTGCTGGTGTTGCTGAGGGCTGGGAGGAAGGTAAGCCTCTCTGAGCACCAGCACCAGTCCACGGTGAAGGGGGGTGCTGTGTGATGAGGGCCTTCCCCTCGAGTAGAACAGAACGAGGAACCCAGAAGGAGAACTTCCTTCTCTATACTCACAGAGCATGTTTTCAGTTGTAAAGAAGCCATAAGCCCAACACTGGGGATAAATTGTGGTGAATTGAAAGCTTTTGTTGTCACTTTTCAAGACCTTAATGTTGACCAGTGGACTGGTCACTCACCACCATGCCCTTCTAGCCCCAGTTAGCCTGGCTTGCCCCCCAGGAGTTCAGTCTCTGACCAGCCTAGAGTTGAATAGTGAATGAATGAATAGCGGTCAGGGAAGATCCAGCAGACAGGGGCAAGTGAATTACAAGGTTCTGACGGTCTAAAGCCAGTGATAGGCAGCAATGGCCAAAAGATAGGAAGGGCCAGGAGGTAGAAACAGCGTGGAGTGAGGAATGTTGGGCCCAAAGACTTCATCACTCAGACTCTGTGAAGGCTGCTTTTCCACATTTCCAAAGTGGCCAAGTTGATCACAACCAAGACTGCTCATTCTTGTTGGACTTGACTGGCTCTGGGAACCAACGACAGATGTATCCCAGTCATTCCTAGACACTTAACTTAGGGACAAGATGGTTGTAATTATAATTTCTTTAGAACCCAACATGGCAGCAGTTTTTGTTGGTTAACTGAATGCATGCATGCATAAAGGGCTATGAAACATAAATGGTTATTGTCTTTTAGGAACAGAAGCAGCTCCACCTGCGCTGCAAGAAGCGGTAACCGAAAAAGAATAGAGCCCCACCGGCACCACACAAGTCAGAGAGTAAATCTTTGTTGCCCATCTATGTGTGTGTGATTCCCCAGCCACAAATCAAACCCCTGGAGTCGCAGTCGCAGCCACACCACTCCCTTGTCCAGTGCCGAGGACCTGAATGGCCTTCCAAAGACTCCCTCCACAGTGACAGCCTGTGTGTTGGAACCCGTGATCTGTGTTCTTTCCCCACCTCCCTGGTGTCCAGAGAGGACGGGGAACAGGGCCACCCCCACAGAGAGGACCTCCTTCCTCGTCCTGCCTGCTGTTTTAACCCCAAACAATCGGTGTCCTTGTCCAAGGGGCTGTGGTTGCTGTGGCTGAGAGCCTGGAGAGGGAAGAGCTTATGCATTTTCTTTTCTGTTTTCTTCTCAGTCTTTTCAGTTTCATCATTTGCACAAACTTGGGAGCATCAGAGGGCTGGTGAATTCCAAACAAGGACACTACCCTGAGTTTGTGCAGAGTCAGAAGAACAGCGGGAGTGCCCTGGCTGACAAGGCCAAGGCTACCCTCCCCCTCTCTTGGCAGTTCCATGGATTCCCACTGCTTCTTATAGTGGTTGGTTGGGTTTTTTGGTTTTCTTTTCTCCAGTTTCACTCATATAGCCAACTCTCCCAAAGGGAACCCCCCCTGAAGCACTGAGCTCTTGGGGGCCCCTGACCACAGCAGTTAACAGCGATGGTGCTGCTTAGGCTTCACCCTGGTGCTTCCCGTCAGCCTCCATGCTGAGTGTCCTGCTGAGCTAGTGTGGGTCAGCCAAGGCCACGCCCCAGGGTCGGTCGGAGCTACTGAGCCACAGCTTTCCTCCAAAGGCAGAAGTGGAGTGCGTGCCTTTCCATCCTAGAGCTGGAGCCCAGCTGAAAGCCTCTGCCCACCTCCCCAAGTGAGAGGGCCACAGGAAGAGGGAAAGGAGGGGTGCACACAACCAGGTCTTCAGGGAATTTTCTTGGGAACTCCTTGTGACCAGGCTGAAACAATGCTTGAATGGAGCTGTTGAGAGTAGCCACACCTCTTCCCCCAGAATGAATTTCCCTTGGCACCTCCCTTCAGACCCAGGCAGGGCCCTAAGAGGAAGCTTGTGAAGGGTTTCCAAGTTTTTTCTCCAAACGTCTGCCTGCCTTGGTATCCTCTTGAACCTGAAGAAGATAGTTCCATGTTCTACCTAACTGACCCAGAAGATCAGGCCAACTTGCTCCCAATAGGAAAGAACCCTGTGCTTGGTTTGGTACCTTTAATATTTATTACTAACCTCCATTAAGCAACGGCAGCCTACAGAAAGACGCTTGAAGCAATCAGGATTTCAGATGTGACTGTGGCAAGCCTTGTGTCGCTGCCCTAGACATGGGTCTTCAAGAATCCGAAATAAGGCCAAGATGCCGTCCTGATCTGTTAGTGGCTTGGATCATGAACCAAGCAAGGTTCCTCAGAGCATCTGGGTCAGGGAAAACAAAAAAGGGGAACCACTGGCTCTGACGCCTTCCAGCCACACATCCCGGGGCCCTCACTACCTGCAGACAGGATGAGGATAGAGGACACGTTAACAGCCTGACAGCACTTCTCCACCTCCAGATGGACTGATCCCAGCATTTAAGTGACCTTTTGATCTTGGACAAACAGTGTCTTCCTATCTGTAGCAACTCATAGGTAGTAGCCAATAAGCACTTCCCAGGACCTGTCCCAAAAGAAGATTGCTAAGTGTGGTTACATGACAGGTTGTGAGGCTCCTGTTTGATCACTGTGAATCAAGCCCCCTCCTTCCTAATCACCACCCTCGCACCCCGCCCTCTGCCCAACTCCGTCTCTGCATTTTCTAAGTAGGGCACTCAAAAAACTGTCTCCCATTAGCTCAGATTATGAGACTCAGACATGTGATTGCCACACTGGGTTAACGAGGGCTCAGCAGTAGATACTGAGCGCTCTCATGTCTAATGCTTCTTTGCGCTCAGCGTTTTTCCATCCGAGGTTCAGAAGGAGTGGTGTGTGGCATCCCTGGCCCACTGGTGCCAATTAAGCCCAATCAGTAGGTTTTCAGTGTGGGTCAGCATTTCCAATGGTGGCTAGTCCTTGCTTTCAGAGTCTCTGCCATTGAAACAGCTGTGCTTCAAATTCCAGTGGGGAAAAATATCTCGTATATTGGACCAGATTAGGACTTTTTGAATAACACTCCCTCTAAAAGGAAGCCACGGTCATTTTTAAAACTTTCATGGGCTTAGCCAGTAATAAAACAGTTAAGAAAGCACTTAAACAGGAGCACAGGCTCTATCAGTCTCACACGAGCCTCCTATCAGATAATTACTTTGATCATCGCTCAAGTTAGAAGCTAGTCCATTCTCTAGCCAAAATCAAATTGTCCTACCTTGGCTCTTCTAAAAATGAGTGTGTGAAATACCTTAAAACAGGAGTCACACCCTAAGGCTAAAAATGAACCTCACAGCCTTTTAAATTAGTCACTGAACATCATTAGTGACTGGAGTCTCATGGGTCAGTGTAAATGGGTCATGGCAAGAGAGGACAGCAACAAAATAATGAGAAGTTGAAATACAGCTGCATCCGTTATTTAATTTTGTAATACGGTGCTCTAATACCTCAAGAATAAGGATATGTGTGTACACAATAAGGAAAAAATAGAAAAAAAGACCTTTGTGGGGTGGTTTTATGTCTGAGCAAGGAGTTTAAATTATAATTGAGATTGATCCGTAGGATCCCACCTAAATAGGAGTCCCCAGCCCTGTGGCTGGAAGAACCAAACATTGTCCAGAGAATCCTTTCCTGGAAGTGTTTGAGCTGCTGAGTCCGACACCAGGTACCACAGGGGTCACAGGTGCACGTCGCTCAGTCAGGTTGGTGTGCTTTGGCCTCTCGCCGAGGAGGAGCTGGTTCTGAGCTTGTACCCAGGAAGCACTTGCTTGCCAGCTCCTTGGGCGGGGTTCACTGCCTCCACTTACCCTGGTCTTTAATAACTGGTAAAGTTCTTGCTACCTTCTACCACCTTTTCAAGTCTCTGGGACTCCCTCCTGGCAATGAAAGCCTTCAATCCTGGCATTGCCCTCTCTCTACCCGCCTTGGTCCTCCAGAGACTGCAATGCCTGTAGCACAGAACACTACCACCACGGGCCTGCCAGCCATCAGCACAGCATACCAGCCAGCTGTCTGCTGCTCAAATCCTTCGTCTCCCAGGTCCAGACCAAATCAGGATCAACAACCCACAGTGGTGGCCCAGCCTTTCACCCCAGGAGCCAAAGCAACGCAAAACAATTGGTTCGATGCCGTTGGGTCCGATTCTGAGAGTAGTTAGCTTCCAGAGATGTCTTTCAGATGACCCTCAACTACCTCAGGTTTGAAGGCCCTCAATTAAGCTGATTACTACTCATAGGGACACACCAAGGGGGGTCAGATAAATCTTGGGGATAACGCAATTGTCTCAAACTTATAACTCTTTCACACTTAGGTTTGCAGGGATGGGGTTGGGCTTTTCTGTTTTTAACCTTTCCCCCAATTTTCCATTAGAATAGTTCCTATCAATGAATTTCATTTTTCACTGAGTGCCTACCTTCCCAGGGCAGGTAGCCACTGGCTTTTGTTCCCTTCCAACAAGACTTTTATTATGGTATTAAGACCTTCCTTTGTATAATACATTGCATCTGTGTTTTCAATTTTTCAAATAAATATTTCAACCTGGCAATGGAGGGTACTGGTGATAACTGACCCACCAAAGTTGGTTTTGAGGTCTGGGGGATTCAAAAAAGCCTACATTTATATTCTGGGATTCGTTGAATCCACTTAAGCTCTGCACCTCTGGGAACATGTCTTCGAGACAGGCCATTTTCTGAAGCATACAACTATTACATTTCCTTTGCTGCTGTAGAGAAACTGTAGTTTGCACTCCTTAAATATGGCTGTCCTCTGTACACTGTCTTGTCCCTGTGAATGATCAAACAGAAATGCCAAAGTGGTCAATACTGTAATTTATCCAGAAGGCCAAGTCTCTACATAAAATCTGGAATCTTCAGATATGCTCTTTTCCATTTCTAAGATGCAAAAGTATACTGCCCCTTAACACTGGATGGGACGAATTCTGCTCAGTGAAAGAAGCTGCCAATCATAAGAGGATTCAGAGCCAGCCAGTCACAGCTACCAGGAGTTTGCAGAGGGAGCTGACAGAATGGAGCTAGCTGGTTGCATAGCAGCCTTTCCCTAGAAAAATTGTCTGCAACCTAATGCTGCCAGTGTGTTCAGCCAACGGGACCGACAGGGACGGAGAGAGATGGGGAAGGCCTGGGTTGGTAAGCAAGATAATTGTCCAAATGACACATCAAGTAAGGAAAGAATGAAGCAAGTAATCAGAAGCTATGGCGTCTATAAAGAGGTCAAAGGACCTGGAGAACAAGAGAAGGCAAATAGTGTTGGAACTGCCCAGTGGGGAAGATGATCTGGGTAAATACAGAAAATGGGAAACACTTGATTACGCTGTCTTTCTCCCTGTAGCAGAATGCAAAGGTGAGCCTGCTCTGTTTGAAGCACCACTGATGGAGTGGATACTTCTTGGTCTCAGCTCTCTTGCAGATCACTGCTGTAGTTCAAGTGTAAAGCTGAGAGTCAAGAGAGCCGGGCAGAAGAAGGCTGCCTCGAGGGCCGGCTGAGTAGCTCAGTTGGTTAAGAGCTCGCTCAAGAGTTTGAGCTCTGAGCAACAGCGGTT